GTAAGAATGGAAAACACTGGCTGTTCTGATTTCATTAGGCCGGCAGATGGTTTCTCTTTAATCACACAGTCCTGAATGAATGACATTCAACACACTTGAAGTAACCGACAGGGAGGGCTTTGTGACTTAGCTCTGATACCCTCATCCCCTAAACAGACAGAGGGCAGGGACAGTCCTGGGGAGACAGACAAGCGCTGCTGCCCCCTCAGGGCTTCCTCTGACTCGGTCCCCTGGTCCTTTCCTTGTGCAAGAGGCCTTTGCCACCTGACGGGGTGCAGGCAGGATGGAGGAAGGTATTTGTTTTGGCGAGGGCCTTGATGAAAGTAGAAGCAATCTGAGGGGTTGTGGCAAAAGCAGGGCAGGGAACTGTGGACCTTTTGACAAAGAAGATTGACTTTTATTGGAAAAGCAGATTTACAGAGAAGGAGAGACAGAGAGAAAGAACTCCATCTGCTGGCTTACTCCAAAAGTGGCTTTAGCTGCCGGAAATCAGCTGATCTGAAGCCAGGAGCCAGGAACTTCTTCCGGTCTCCCAAAGCTTTGGATCCCAAAGCAGGGTCCCAAAGCTTTGGGCCATCCTCTACTGCTTTCCCAGGCCACAAGCAGGAAACTGGATGGGAAGCGGAGGAGCTGGAACACAAACTGGCCCGCATATGGGATCCTGGTCATTGCAAGGTGAGGATTTAGCTGTTAGGTCATTGCGCTGGGCTTGAACCTGGGTTTTTAAGGAGTAAAGGATCTTTAACACACCCCTGCACATGCACCCCAATGTGTGCAGGGTTTTTCACATCCCTGGGCCCCTGCTGGAGTGTTGGCTCCTCCTCTCTGCCTTCCCTGATACCCGGTGAACTAGTAGTAAAGAGAAATCTGGAGGTTTGTGTGTATGTGGTCCCAACACTTGCGCGAGTGCTTGGCTAGCCCCTACTTGGGGAAAGCTGGGAGGTAGTTGGAGCAGGCAGAATCTCTCACCTGCTGCAGTAACATGTGGGCTTCTCCTGGGAGATGCTCCTTCTTCCCGCTCACAACCACTTGGACAATCCATGGGAGCCATCTTCTTCTCCTGGACTCCACCCACAAGGCCCCCACCAAGTGGTCACAGCTGGGAAGCCTCGCTCCAGCTGAGTCAACCAGAGCCCTTCCTGGAAGTTACGCGCTCCGGAAGGCAACGCCGATGGAAGCTGCTCACTTTCACGGTGGCGTGTGAAAGGGACTGAAGGGACTGACCTGCAGGACACAAGGGGAGAATTCAGCCAGGGCCCCACATGAGCACTGGAGGGTGAACCTTGGCTTTCCCCCAAGTTCCTTGGAGGCCAAACTCTGCTCTTTGCCCTTGCAGGGCAGTGTGAGACCACCTGAGCACAAAGTAACTAGTTTGCTACCTGATCAGAACAAAGAGTCTTGTAAGAGACCCAGGAACAGGGGATGGGCAGGTCAACCAGTGGCATTAGGACAATAAGCCAGGCATTCAGGACAAGAAATGCAATTCTGTTTTGTGATATGTAGTATGGGTTGGTTTGTGCTTCCCTGGCACAGATATGCCAATGTTCCAGCCCCTGTACCAGGGAATATGACTTCATTCGCAAATAGGGTCTTGTAATAGAATCAAATTAAGTTAGGATGAGCTCATTGGGGTGGCTCTAGTCCCTTAGGACCGATGTCCTTAGAGGGAGAGATGTGGCAGAGCCAATCAGAAGGGGTCACACAGAGACGGAGAAGGTGATGCATCCGTGAGCCGAGGGCCTCCACGGGTTGCTGGAGACACCGAAGCCAGAAGGCTCCTTTAGAGCACCCGTCCCAGAAAGCACAGTCCAGCGAAGACCTCGCTTCTGGACTTCCTGCAGCCAGAACCAGGAAAAGACTAGACCTCCGCTTCTCCAGGCTCAGCCGCCCAGCAGGTACACACAGAGGCTCCCCTGGAAGTTCACATACTGAGTGTTTAGTACACGTGCTGGAGTAAGGAAGCCCCGCCCTCCCTCACAGCAGGCTCTGAATGGACAGGATTGGACGATGATGTGAAAACACACATTTCCACAGAGCCCATAAAAAGGGTGAAATCTAGAGTCAGAAAAAGAAGTGCGCTTGCAACATGTGCCATGGAGTCCCATGTGCACAATTCGCAGGGACTCCTGTACACGAGGATAAAAACAAGCTGACAGCAGCATGAGCAAAATGCCGGACTAGGTGAGGGAGAATCTCCAAGACAGACATGTGCCAGTCGCTCTTTGTTGTGGTTAATCAAAGGAAGGGACACTGGCATGAAAAGATGCCATTTCTCTCAAATACTACTGGCAAAAATGAATCCTGTTGACAGCATCTGCATTTGGAGCTCTGGGAAGTCCTGGCCAGAGGGACTTCTGGGCTTGGGGGTTAAGTAACCCTGGCAGGTGCCTCGTGGCTGGCCCAGGGGCTGCTCTGTGAGCCCTTGGGGTGTGCTTCCTGCTAAAAGCGCCTGCTGTGTCAGAGGCCCCAGACCACCCACAGAGCTCTATGCCCATTATCTCTGCCTCCTGTCTCTGCCTGCCCTAGGCTCTGGACTGGATCCTGCCCCCCACACTCCCCTTTGGACTCTATGTCCTCTTCTCTGTTCTGATGGCCACCCCAAGCCCTAGGATACCCCTTCTCCTCCCTGGCCCTGAGAGTGGCCCTGGTGCCCCTACACAGCCCCTGTGCCGGCTGGGAGTCTAGGGAACTGAGCACAGCCCATTCTGAGCCCTGAGGGGAATGGAATGATCTAATGCAAGGCCAAGGACAGGGACAGGGACTGGCAATAGTCTGAGGTGGCAGCTTCCTAGCAGCTTCCTGCATCCTTCCAGCTCTCCCTGGACAGGCCCTGCTGGGGTGTGCTTACCTGTGGGCCAGCCAGAGGGCAGCACTTCAGTGGGCTTTTCAAGGTGAGCAGGGGCTTGAACTGCTGAAAGAGGTGCTCCTCCCAAACTTGTATCTTCGCTGAGCTGAGCTCAGCGACCCACACGATCCAGGTTGCTGGAGGGTAAGGGAAGAAGCTACCCACACTACTCTGCCCGTCCTTGGCCTTGGGCTGGGGCTCCAGGGCTGGGAGTGGATGCTGCGCTGAGTCCAGCCCCAGATGTGGCTCAGTGAGTTAAACTGCCTCCTGCAATGCCAGTACCCTGTACTGGCATTAGTTTGAGTTCCAACTGACCCCATCAGTTCCAGCTAATGCTACTGGGAAAGTGGCTGAAGATAGCCCTGCCACTCACTTGGGAGCCTGGGTGGAATTCCAGGCCCCTGGCTTTGGTCTGGCCCAACCTCAGCTATTGTGGCCATTTCATTTGGGAAGTGGACCAGCAGATGGGAGATTTCTGTGTCTCCCTCTCTATAGACCCATCTTTAAAATAAATATTTGGAAAAAAAGGGGGGATTTTTTTCCCAAAAGACGAGGGGACCCTAGTAAGTTGCCTTTCTATTTATTTATGATTGATCCATGGTTGTGTTTACTAATATAGCCATCTGTATATTTTTAACTCCCCAAACACTTAATATCCAACATGGGCCGGACCCTGTGCAAGGTGAATCACTGAGTTTCACCATGAAGCTAAGCTAAGCCACAGGTTCTATAAAAAGCCAAGTGCATTAAAATGCGGCATAATTGCATTGTATAATGAGGATGACTGGAAATACGATTAGGAACTAGCAGATGTCGAGTAAAGCGAGGAGGAGCCTGCGGTGGAAGCAGAACTTGCTGACTGGGGGCAGCAGCTTGTCCGCCCTCAGCAGGCAGCTGGAGTGTGAGGTACCCGGACCCTGCCTCCCACGCCACGGTCCCAGCACCCCTCGCTGCTGCTTGTGCTGATCCGGTCTGTAAGCGGCAAAGACCCCAACTGCCTCTAGAGGCTGGTTTCTGTCGCCTCCCTCCCTACCCTCGGAAACCACACTACACTCTGCCCTGGCTTCCCTGGACAGTCTCCCCGAGGCTTTAGGAGCGGCCATGGCCCGCAGAGGGGTGTGAGCAGAGGGGTTTGAGGAGTGCAGTTGGGCTGGGGACGGTTCTCATCTTTAATCTCAAAATCAACTGGGCTCTTTACTGTTACATGGAACATATAAAAATCTTAAAAATAGGGACTGACATTTTGTGTGCAGGTGGGTTAGCCACGGTTTCCATTTTCTGGTGCTCTGTTGCTCCCCACTTCTGTGTAAGTGCTTGTTTTTTAGATTCTGCACTGTGTACCCGAGTGTTCCCAGCTGCTGGCAGGCAGCTGTGGTTGTCTTGTCTGTGCTGACACACCACCCCTGCTTTCTTTGGGACTTCTCTTGCCCAAACTGGCTGACGCGTTGCTCTTGTATCAGATTTCCAAAGAACCTGGTTCTGGCTGCTCAGCTTATCTCCTATGTCCCCATGTGATGGCTTCCACTCTGAATTTTGTGATTTTTTTCTCCAGTGGTGTTTTCTTTGTTCCAGGCAGCTTATTTGTTAACAAGCTCACTAACTATGGGAAACAGTTTTCTCTAACACCTGAGCATCCAAGGGAGCCCCATTTCTGTCCACAGGCCGGGCAGAAGGTCCCTAGCTGGTGGACAGTGTCGGGGCGCCATCTGTGATCGGGGACCTGGGGCTGGTTCCTCTGGGTAGAGCAGCTTCCTGTGGGGATGGCTGCAGGTGCTCATTTCGGTACAAATAGACCAAGCGTAGTGTGCAGTGCTGGTGCTTGAAGTCTGTGGCTTCCCGACCACGGCTGAGACAGCCGGGTTTCTGCCGGCCATACCCTTCCTGGGGTGCCTGGGGACCAGGGGGCCCAGGGAGGCCCCGGGCGGCCAGCACGCATCCATCTGCAGCCCTGCTCAGCTCCAGCTCCGAGTCAAGGACGGCAGTCTCTCATCCTACTTTGCCGACTGTGAACTGATTATCTGACAGAGAGACCCATGCTCTGCTTTAAGGTGCTTGCAGGATGCTCTGAGGAAGAAACGAGAATTGAAGAGGCCAGGGGAAAACACCTACCACGTGTTATCTCCACCTGGAGAGAAATTCATACTACAGATGCATGTGGTTAATGACAAGTTGTATTTGGTGTCAGGGTCTTTCAACAGCACTATTTTTGACATTAAAGCATGATGTTCTCCGTATTAATGGTCTACATCTTCAGAGTTTTCTTGTTGAGGTTTTTTAAATACTTCTCTTTGCAGAGAAGAAATCTGAAACTCCTATCAGGTCATTCTTCCTAGATTCTCTACATTGGAAACAGATAAATGACTCGTTAGCACTTTCTCAGAGTATAGATGAAACGCAATTTAATTGCTTAAGTCTGACTTAAAAACCTCATCATTCATGCACTCCCATCAGTAACCTTTACTCCACAGAACAAGGCATTCAACTTCCTTGTGAGCAGGTGGGAATTTGCTGCTGGATGGAAACATGAGTCCTGCTTGCAAACACGAACACACACAGCCTCCTGTGGCTTGAGAACAAACACCACCTGAGCCCTGCCCCCACGCCAGTTGGCAAGGAGCATCTCCTGGGTGTTCCCCTCACTGCCCCATGCTCAGCCCCCTGCCCAGCCTGGAGAGCAGGACCCTGTCCCCCTCTTGCAGAGCACATGAGGCTACAGGGAGGCCCAGCTGTCAACCCCACCAAGCTCACTGTCACCTCAATGGCTGCCGACTGCAGCATCATTTTCTAAGGGGAACTCAGGGGCTTAAGGAGCTTTAGGGACCAAGCAGGGAGCTAATGGATGGGTGGACAGACGCATGAGCTGCCAAACAGGCTGTGGATCACTTAGGGCCAGCATGCAGCCTGACGCATTAAGCTGCCTCCTGCAATGACAACATCCCATATGGTCATGAGTTCAAGCCCTGCCTGCTCCACTTCTAGGAAAGCAGCAGAGGATGAGCCAAATACTTGGAGCCCTGCACCCATGTGGGGGACCTGGAAGCAGCTCCTGGTTGCTGCTCATGGCTTCAGTCTGGTCAAACTCTTGGCCATAGTGGCCATTTGGGGAGTGAACCTGCACTTCCATGGCTGTGTTGTTCCCTGCAGCCTAAGGAGACACTCTCAGGAAGCACACTGCAATCTTTCCAGGTTGAGAGGATCATCTTGCAGGGAGACAGAGCACAGACGTGTGAACAGACACAGGCCACAGGGAGACAGCACCTGAGGCCGCTGGTGGGATGAAAAAGGTACTGTCTTGGGGTCAGTTTGAGACCTGAAGCAGCCTAAGGGGGCAGTGCACCACGTGCCTGAGGACAAGTTCACCAACCAAGACCCAAGTTGGTGGAGTCAAGAACCTCTTCAAAACACAGGGACACGGTCCCCAGACTGTTTGCCAGCGGTCACTGGGGAGGAGACCAAGTCCTCTCACTGGATGGCGGACCAGGATTGTCATCATCTGGCCTACTGTGCTCACGGTTCAAGACACGCTGGGGACGAGCAGCTCTGCATTGCAGGGCACATCTTCTTCCTCTACAAACTAAAGAGGATCCCAGTCCCGCTGGGGCCGAAGCCCATGTGGGCAGAGGCTGCCCTGAGCCGACCCATCTGGGAAGGCGTTCTGTGTTCCTCCTCCCCACTGTGGCAGGAAGTCACTGCTGACACACCTTACCTGGGAAGAGGCGGGGACTAGGGAGGGAAAGGCAGCTCTGCTGCCCACGACGTGCTTATCCTTAAAGGAGACTTACACCTTTTCCTTCAGAGTGGCAAGGTAGGTTTCCGTGTCGGTGGGAGGGATGTCTGGGTCCAGCCTGGCCAAGTACTCGTAGACGTAGGAGAAAGTCTCAAAGGGGATGCGGGCGGGCCCGCCCTCGGGGTCTGAGGTGAGGATCTCACACAGGTGCTTCATGGCCGAGTTCAGGGACTAGCGAGACCAGAGGAGGGGGCACGGTGAGAGGCTGGGAGCCCACCCCAGGCACACCCTCCAAGGGCCCACCTCCATCCAGCTGCCTGGGTTCCATCCAGCTGCCTGGGTTTGCTCCACAGTGAAAAGCCAAAGAGGAGAGGTCGGCTCAGGTGCCAGCAGGCAGGAAAGACTCCAACCCATAGATTCTGACAAGAGGTGACACCCGTGTCATTCCACGCTGGCGTCCTTGGCCAGTGTAGACCCACATGTGCTCCTGACCGAAGGGGCTGGCAGGTTGCGCACCTCAGCTGCCCAAGGTTGGAGGGCAGCACAGTGCAACCAGGCTCCATCTTGTCCCCCACCCTCACACGGAAGGCTCCTGGGTCCAGGGATGCACGGGCCATCCCTCCTAAGGACAGGGCGTCTCCCTCTCGATCCTTCCCGCTGCCAGGCTTGCCCAGGAAGCCACCCCTTCTGCCTGTAATAGACCCAGAGTCCTGGGATTCTCCGGAAGCCTCAGGGCAGCAGTGGTCAATGGACCACGGCCTCTTTCCCATTCACACTCTCCCCTCCAACTCCCCCAGTTCATCCTGTAGGAAATAGGCAAAGGTTTGTTGTTGTTGTTGTTGTTGTTTTTTAAAGAGGGGTGCGGATCCTGTTAACGAGATTACTATACTTAAAAAAGCAATCTCACTTGTACATGTCTGTGAGCGCAGTGGGACCATCATCTGCTGAGTGGCATTTCTTTGTCCCCGGGCATTGTTTAAAATTCACCGTTGTTAAGCAATAATTGTACACCATCTATGGGGTACACGGGAAGGTTTTCACAAATGAACCCAATGCATACATCTCCTTGACATGCAGACCGCGACGGCACAGGTGTCCTCTGGCCACAGGAGGTCTAAGAGACCTGACTCCTGCCCCAGCCCTCTCCCTGTGTCCTCTCCTGGAGTTGGGCCTTGTCGGAGGGACTCTGTCTGTGGGGACAGTCCTGGGGTCCCTGGGCTGACTCTGGCTAGGCAGATGATGGTACCAGGGAGGGGCAGCTGGGGTCCTAGGGCACGGGGGAGGCGAAGGGCCATGCTGAGCGCTGGGCCCCAGTCTGACCCCACCAGGGCACAGTGGGCATGAACCGGGAAAGGGGAGGAGGCGGGCAGCACCAGCAAGCAGGCAGGCCAGAGCCTCACATGCCATGTATGCAGGCTTTGGAGCAAGTCGTGCTGAAGGAGAAAAGGCTGCAGAGCCCAGAGCAGCTGTGTGGCCTCTGCCTCTGCCGGGTACACAGCTGTGACCGCAGCCCAAGGACTCGCACGGAACGTGACCTTGTCTTTCCTGCACTCGGACTTGCATTGCCTGTGAACATATTTCTTGGTCCTAAAGGGTTGTAGATAATCAGGCTGCTGGCTCAGTTCGATGGCCCTTGATGTGGCAAGTGGCTCTCACTGCACCTCCTGGGGCACAGGTGTCTGTCACGGCTGCCAGCAGTGGGTTTGGATGGAAAAGTGTAGGGCCAGCACAGTGCTGTTGCATATTAAGCCTCTGCCTGTGGCGCCAGCAGCCTATTCAGAGGCTGGTTGAAGTCCTGGCAGCTGCTCCACTTCTGGCCTTGGAAGGCAGCAGAGAATGGTCCAAGTGTTTGTGCCTCTGCATTCATATGGGTGACCCACAGGAAGTCCTGGGATTCTGGCTCCAGATTGGCCCAGCCTGAGCCACTGTGGCTATTTGGAGGGCGAATCAGCAGACAGAAGATCTTTGTCTCTCCTTTTCCTCCTATAAATCTGCCATTCAGATTAAAAAAATAAATCTTAAAAAAATACAGGTGTATGTGCACGTGTGTGTCCTGGCAAACACACAGGTGCTCCCGTGCCAAGTTCAAATGCAGTTAAGTACGACCAAAGTCACTGCTATTTGTATTTGTCTGGCTGGGTTCTTCTTCACTATGGACTTCCTGTGTCCATATGTGGTAAGGATGGAAGACTTTATACACAATTTTATCATGTTTGAAAAAAACAATCTGACTCTCCACACTGAAACAAGCCTGACATCCTGATCCACTGCTTCACTGTTCGGAGGCTTGAACGGCGGTGCCGAGAGGGAGGGACAGAGCCAGGACATGCGGCCATCGCTGTCCTCCAGAGAGCGGGCCCTGGGTGCCACCAGCCAGCGGTTCCCAGTCACAGAGCAGCCTTCAAGGGTGCAGGGCCGTGCCAGAGCATCAGATTCTGCAGTCTGGGACATCACCTGTCCCTGTCCACTCCAGAAGCCTCACCCAGCGGCTCCGGCACAAAGTGCTTGGGAAACATTTGTGGAAGGAAGGCATGAGGAAAGTCATGAGGGGCACAGGGGACTCCAAAATGTAAGCCTGAGTTCTGCCCTTTTCACTGACGGTCACCCTGACCGATGTGACAAGGAGTGCAGAGAGCGAGGAGCACGCACCTGCCACAGGGTGGCACCAACAGCATCTGTGGGCCTGGACACCCAGTGCCCAGGTACCAAGCACTCTGCACCCAGTTCCAGCCTGGGCCAGAGGTGCATTCCCTTGGTACAGTGATGACAACCATGCTGCAAGCAGGTGAATTCACACTGTGCTCACCAGGGTGTGTGTGTGTGTGTGTGTGTGTGTGTGGGTGTGTGTGTGTGGCCGGGGCAGAGGCAGGGACCCTGAGCATGAAACCAGGGTGACCACATGCTCCTGTGGCGAGGACCTGGTCAGCTGTCACACCTGAACCCCTCTCTGAGTCCAGCACCACAACCAGAAGGGGACACAGGCACATAGGAAGCAGTGGAAGGCAAGCAGCCAGTCCTCTGGCTGCAGCAAGGGGCCAGGCTGGACGCACAGTGACCATGGGGCACGCTGCCCGGCAAGTGGCACGCTCTGCCCGCCCTCCTACCCCTTAGGATAAAACAGCAGGAAGAGGAGGCGCCTTTCCCAGGCTCGGCCTGCTAGGGCAGGCCCTGTCCTTGGCCGAATGTCTCCCTCTAGTGCCACACACTGCAGATGGACAAGGAACCTCATTTTTGTCTTCAATCTGGTGCTTAATATTCACATATAGGGAGGTGAACATGACAAAGTTGCACCCAAAAAAGAAGAATGATTGACCTGATCTCAACTGAGAGGCATTCTGTTCTTCAGGGCTCTGCAAGGGCGCGGGAGCGGGATTCGCAACAAAGCAGGAGCCACAGTACTGGCTGCAGTTGTATTTTTGTTGCAGAATGTTTGCTTTAGCCAGAAATGCACTAAGTCCTTTGCAAGTTCAAAGTGGCAAAGCAGAGCCACCAGAAACATACACCTGATTTTTACAACAAATACATTATATTAGCTGCTGGAGCCACGGCTCTGTATTGCCGTACGGACAAATGCAGCAACACCGGTTGCAACAGGATGGAAACTTGCCCTGTTGCAGAGCCCCCGGAAGGAGTCGGGGATCAGTCATCTTCCCAGCTGGGGTGATGCCGAGGTGTTTCAAACCAGCTCACAAATGACGCCAGATGAAAGCACTGTACTAGTGACCATACTGCATTATTGAAGAAATAAAGTCATGCGAAGCACTGTCTCCACATCCAGGGGGCGCAGGCGGGGCACAGGCAGCCGGCAGACAACCCCACTACTACCGTGGGCGGTATGCAGCCAGACCTGCTCGCCACGCAGCCGCTGGCCTGACCCTGGCTTATTTGAGGGCACAGGGCTTCCTGTGGGGACAGGATGGGGACAGGGCAGCAGGTGGCCATCAGGATAGTGTCACATCACGCAGGATCCACGGTGACAAAGGTAAGAAATATGGCACCATGCTTTGCAGACAACAGATTGCTAACAACAGGATTACCTTTCCATAAGCCAAGCCAGCCACGGCTGAATAATGCTATTTCCTGGTGCATAATCAAAAGCTCTTTGCGTAAGGGCGAGTCAGTGCCACACGCCTGATTCCGGGCACTGTGGCTTCTGACTGGCCAGGAAGGAGCGTGATCTTCATGGCAAGTTTTTGTCAGGGTGTTAGGGACAATGCAAGCACACAGACTCCTGGGTGCTTTCTATGTACGGTTAAGTTGTAGGAATTAAAATGGAATTAAAGAGACTCATGCAAAGATGAAGCCAGTGTGCACCTGCAGGTCCACTGCAGAGGGAGGAGGAGGAGGAGGAGCAGAGGGAGGAGCGAAAGAGTAGATCTTGGCTCTGCACAACAAGGGATCTCTCCCCATCTCAAGGAAGAATCCTTCCTCACTCCACCGCTTCCACTGCCACATGCACTGGGACGCCCCGCCAGGCCTCCTGCCATGCCTCCCCACACCTGTGCTCGCTGCCAACCACCTTGGCTCCTGCAGGAGTGGCCAGACTGGACTGCCAGCCAAGCTGCACTGCTACCCAACTTACAACTTAGGGGAAGACAATTTGATGCCTCTCTTCACTGATAAGAAAACCAGAATGCGTTTACAAAATGAAAAGACTTTGAGGCCTTTTCTCCTCAAACCAAAATACTTTGTCATCATATCTGTGCACTGAATCTACTGTGAAAATATTGTAAACTGAGATGCTCGTAAGTACAAGCATTCGTAAATATTTAACTTAAAAAAACTTTTATTATTTTCATTGTGTTTGAAGGAGAGACAGAAAGAGATCTTTAATCTGCTAGTTCACTCTTCGATAAACCACAGTAGCAGGGCCAGGCCAAAGCCAGGAGCCCAGAACTCAACCTGGGACTCCCACATGGGCCACAGGACCCAATACCTGAGCCATCGCCTGATGCCCTCTGGGGGCACTTTCCCACAAGGGTGGAATCAGCAGCTGAGTACCCAATATCACCTGCAGGCACCCAAAAGGCGTCTTAACTGTTATGTCAAATGCCATCCCCTCAGTATTAAAATTTAAAGTCTGCAGGGCAGGTACTTAGCAGGGCTCATGTTGGGGTGTCTGACTCTGCCTTCCTGCAGGTGCATCTCTGGGAATCAACGGGGGCTGATGCTGGTAGCGGAGTCCCTGCCACTCACATGTAACACATCTGGTCTGTGTAGCTCCTCCAGGCTCCTGGTCCCACCCTGGCCCCACCCCGGCCTCGCTCTGGTCCTGCCCTGGCCCCACCCCGGCCTCGCTCTGGTCCCGCCCTGGCCCCACCCCGGCCTTGCTCTGGTCCCGCCCTGGCCCCACCCCGGCCTCGCTCTGGTCCCGCCCTGGCCCCACCCCGGCCTTGCTCTGGTCCCGCCCTGGCCCCACCCTGGCCCTGCCCTGGCCCCGCGCTGGCCCCCCTGCTCTGACTATTGCGTGCATTTGGCAAGTGAATCAGTGGATGGCAGGTCTCTCTCTTGTCTCTGTCTTTTCCCTTCTATATCTCTCTACATTCAATATAATCGAATTTCTAAAAATTTAAATAAAATAACAGCCTGAAAAGGACTGTTTTTCTAAGATGATGTTATCAAAGCAATGGGAGTGTTTCAGCTAGAGCCCACACTGGTTCTGAGCCAGGCCCCTAAGGACACACCAGTTACGGTACCTACCCCACCGAGCATGCTGCATCCGAGGGCTAAAAACTTTATCCACTCCATCGTGCCTCCACAAGGATCCAGTTGTAAGAGAGCTTTGAATTTTTCTATTGGCAGGCACAAGTTTTTCCATTTCTGCTCAAGATCGTTCAAGTCCACATACTGCTTGTGGCTACACTGTTTAGAGAAAACAGCAGGACATAGCCGAGGTAAGTTTTCAGAAGTTGTGAAATGTGGGAAAGGGGACAGTGAAGGGTGTCACCCATAGAGGGACAGTGGGTAGAGAGGGCTGCCATGGACCAGGGATTAGTCTCACTGTGTCCCTTAGGGGAACAAAGTGGAGTGAAACTGACCCGGCATGCAGGTGGCACAAAGGCATGAAGACATGTGCAGAAAGGAACTTCAACAGATACACTTACAAAGCCAGCTTCCATAGAAATGTCCCTCTCCTAGGTCTGAGGGTGTGTGAGTGGACAGCTTCTGCCACCTGCTGGCAGCACCTTGCGGTCTCAGCATCTTCACTGCAAACCCACTCTGCCTGGGGGTCCATTTCCCATAAAGCAGAGCTGTGGGAAGGCCTAGCTTCAGGACGCTGTGTAACCACTCAGGGTCTTTGCAAAGTTCATGCAACATGCATCTCATGGGAAAAACATGTACGGATTTTGAAACTTTAAAAAATAAAACAAAACTTTCCGGATTCATTTATCTGAGAGAACAGAGAGAAGCAGCGCTCCTACCTACTGGCTCACTGCCCCCAAGTACCCACATGAGCTCTGGGACGGGGGGCCGAAGCCAGGAGCAGGGAGCTCAAGCCATGCCTTCCACGCGGAGGTAGGGATCCAGCTCTGTGGAGTCATTACTGCCTGCCAGGTCTGAGCAGCATGTGGGGTAAGGAGCAGAGCCTTGCAGCACACCCGGGCACCAATGCGGGATGCATGCATCTTAATTACCAGGCCAAATGCCCACTCCACAATCATTTTGCCATGAACTTTTTCAATTGCCCTTGTATAATGGGGACAGATGAGTTTGAAAAGTAATGTTATGCCACTGGTGCTATTTCTAAGATTTATTTATTTATTGGAAAGAATTCCAGAGAAAGAGTTTCCATCTGCCAGTTCACCCCTCATAAAGGCACAATAGCTGGTGCAGGGCCAGGCTGGAGCCAGAAGCCTGGAGCTTCTCCCAGGTCTCCTACACGGGTGGCAGAGGCCCAAATGCCTGGGCCATTTTCCACTGCTTTGCCCAGGCCACAAGCAGGGAGCTGGATGGCAAGTCGAGTAGCCAGGACATAAACCTGCACCCTTCACCTGCTGTGCCACAGCCAGCTCCCTACCGGTGTCATTTTTAGCAATATGACCCAAACATTGTGAATGTCAAGCTTCCTTTTATAACAGTTGCTCCCTACCACTCATTTCTCTAAAAAGATGGTGCATCAGAACAGAACTGCCAAGGATGTGGAGAGAGGGTAGCGGGGTGGTAGCCAGGCTGGCACTCTGGACAGCCTGAATGGGCTCCCCTGCTGCCTGGTCGGGGAGCAAGCCTTTCAGAGGAAGAGGGCAAACTGGTGTGTCCATGTCTGCACGACCCTCACCAAAACCCAGCTCAGGAGGGTGCTGAAGCCTCCGCTCCAGAACGTCAGCTTCAAGAATTTAGCGTTATGGCTTTCAGTCTAGAAGAATCTAGTGTCATCCGACTAGAAGGCACAGGGTTCCCCCTTTGGAATAGCAGTCAAGACAGCCCTGCCAGGATGTCCGTATTTTAGAGCAGAATGCCCAATTCCAACTTCATGGCAAGCTACACTCTGGGAGGCAGCAGCTAGCTGATGGCTCGAGTCCTGGGATCCACGCCAGACGCATGGGAGGGCTCCCGACCTCGGCCTGGCTGAACCCAGGCTGTTGCAGGAATTTAGGGAAATCAATCAACAGGTGGGAGACCCCAGGTCTCTGCACCTCTGCCTTTAAATACAATGAAAATACACAACAAGTTTTTAAAGAAAGCACATGAAATCTGTCCTATTCATGCTAATGTGTATATATATGTATATACATTTTTTTAAAGAAAACATCTGGGGTCAGTGCAATGACACAGTGACATAGTCAGCCAAGCCTCCACCAGCAGTGCCAACATCCCACATAGACACTAGTTTGGACTCCAGCTGCTCCACTTCTAATCCAGCACCTCGCTATTGCACCTGGAAAGTAGCAGAAGACAGACCACGTGCTTGGGCTTCTGCACAGAAGTGGGAGACCTGGAAGAAGCTCCGGGCTCCTGGATTTGGCTCTAGCCATTTGTGACAATTTTAGGAGTAAATTAACGATGAAAGATCTCTCTTTGTGTCTCTTTCCTGTAACTGCATTTGAAATAAAAATCCATCAACAGCTATTTGGGTTTCTCTAGCCCAGACAAGGTGACCAAACACAACAGGATCGCTCACTGCACGAACTATGCCAGCAGGGACAGGAGGTTTCTGGGGACTTCCTGCTTTACCCAGGGGTGAGGAGAGGGCCCAGGTGGCGAAGCAGGGGCGAGCGGGCCAGTGGGTCTCTCCTACCTGCTTGTGCAACACCTTCAGGAGCCCCTGGCTCAGCCCCGTGTCCGTTTTCTGGGTTGCCACGGGCATCTCCATTCGGTCCTTCACGGGAAGTGGATCTCCCCTTGACAAAGCTGAAAAATACCTGGCGAGGACAGGCGAGGCTACAGGCCCAGCTAGCCTCAAGGCGGCTGAGGCTGCGCGGCCGACACTGAGCTCTCTGGCTCCCACCATCTCCGTGTGCCTCTCTCTCAGTCTGTAAAGTGGGGGTCATGACAGCTCCCATCTTGGGGTTCCTGGGAGCATTCAACAGTGAGGTCAGCACTCTAGGGCTCCCTGATACGTGCCTTCCCAGGACAGGTGGAGGGCAGGGCAGGCCTGGGCACAATGCCCATAATGTGTGTCTGCTGTGGGTGGCCTGGGCGCACTCTGCCCACTTCCTGGCCTCGCTGTCAGTGTCAGTCTCTGCTCCAGAGTGACGGCTGCTGCCTCTCTCCCACTCTTCCTCCCGTGGTGTCTCCTTCCCGGGGCTCCCCCTTTCCTGCTCACGCTGGAGTGAGTGAGGGGAGACACCAGCCCTAAGAAGTGACCAAGGTCTTCTAGAAGCATCCAGCTGCATCAAATGGCGTTTGTCCAAAACAAGTGCCCATCTCATTCCCTTTCTTTTGCTGCCCCTCAAATTCTATTCTATTCTCATGCTTGTGGGACTTTGATCCCATTCAGCAGCAGGAAAGCCAACAGGGACCTGGCCGCCTACAGGGTTGGACTCCTGTAAGGCACGTGCGGGCTTAGTGGGCCACACTGTCCCTTAGCAGGGTCTCCACTGATTCAGGGCAACTTTTTCCTTGCAGTGTACCAAAGGCCTAGGCCTAGGCATGTGTGTGTGTCTCACAGTTAGCTTTTGTCATCTATTTCTGGACATGCTTCTAGTTGTCCCAACAGGAAGTCGGGCTGAGAAAACCTGCTTTGGAGGGGTGGCCAACTCCAGTCACTCTGGAGTGGCCTGGGGGCACTATGAGCCACAGCAGCCTTCTTCATCACTCTAGGCACGCAGAGTGGGTCACCAGGCTTGGCCACTAGAAACCCAGGCATGTAGAGAAGCCTCCGCCCTGGGAAACAGGAAGGACGACTGCAGTGTCCCATGGCCATCAGCTTTGGGGGGGGGCAGAAAAAGTGGGGGAGCTTCCATGTTGCTCCCATTGGTTTTTTGCCTCTTCCAGTCTCCAGCCCTCTGTGGCCCTCGGCTGCCGCAGTGACCAGCTCCCTCCCCACTTGCCCCAGGAGCTTCCTCATGAATCTCTCCCTGACAGAGAGCCCTGGCAAGCAGTAACGCCTGGGTCTTGTCCTGAATTCTAGAAGTGTGCTTAAGAGAAACGAGCAGCACGTGGCATTCAGAAATTCTTACTGCATCACGGCCGAGCAAAGCTTAAAATACTCACCTTTAAAGTATTACCAGACATGCCGCCCTGTTCCAAGAAAAAAAAATTCCAACTTTCTCATTTACATCGGGACGATCATTAAGATCAGAGATGGTATATTTTTCCTTTTTTGAGAATTCTGAGATCTTGTGAAGTAACTGGCAAAGTGCTTCTCAGAAGGTGAGAGCTGGATTAGCAAGTGCTAGTTTTAACCCTTTTGGTTAAATAGCAATCCCCAAAATAGAGTTCCAATCCCAGGAACCAGTGCTACTCCTTGACATGGTATGGGACAACCGTCCTGGGCCATCTGGGCAAAGGACACTGGCTCCTTGGAGAGGCAGCCCAAGAAGATGGGAAGACGCTGGCTTTGAAGCCAAGGACGCTAAGGCAGGTGGCCATCAAAGCGTGATTCGCTCTGGCGCTCAGAATCTTCAGAATGCAGGGTATGTTAAACCCTTAGACCTCACTGCAAGGGGGCTGGCACAGTGACACCACAGGCTGATCCTCCACCTGCAGCTCCACATGGACACTGATTCGTCACCTGGCTGCTCCACTTCCCACCCAGCTCCCTACTTGGGACCTGGGAAAGCTATACAGGATGGCCAAGGCCTTGGGTGCTTGCACCTGTATGGGAGACCCAAAGAAACTCCTGGCTGTGGGCTTGGGACCGGCTCAGCTGCAGCTTTGCAGTCATTTGGGGAATGAGCCAGCAGAATGAATATCTTTCTCTCTACAAACGTTTCATACAAAAATAAATAAATCTTTAAAAAAGGAAAAAATGAAAAAACCCTACTGCAGGGATGTCTTTCAGCAGGCATAGGACACTAAGCCTTCCTGGTTACTGGCAGTTGAGAAATTCAACAAAAGACAAGATGGTTCAAACACACACACTGGACTTACAATGATAAAGATTCGTAATTATAGAAATTGCCCAGTGAAATCGAGAGGGTTGACCTGAATGGCCCTGTGGTCTGGGGTCTACCTTCCCCCACCCAGGGCCGGCCCTGGGGCCAGGCGGCTTGAGGCCTACATGCTGGCACTCTCTGCAGAGGAGGTACCCAGGGAGGAGCAGACCGGGAGGGGCTCAGTCACCGGCCTGTCTCTCAATCATTGCCACAGATGACCAAGTCTGGATCCACCATCGTACGCTCTCCAAGGCACCAATGGCCACGACGGTGCAGGTGAGCGCCCATTCTGCCCCTTCCTGGCCTCCGTTCTAGTCCTGGGTGGGCAGGCAGGAGCCTGGCTGCGCTCTGCCCCCAGCCCTGGCTCGGACAGGAGGCCCGGTGGCGCTTACCCCGCGGACCACTGCAGCACGTCGGCGGGCTGGGTGCGGATGGCAGCCTTGGTGAACTGCTTCAGGATGTCGGGCAACTCTGGGGGAATGTGGATCTGCTGCGCGCAGAACATGGTGTCGGGCAGCGGCATCCTGCTCCGCGCACCCGGCTGTGGAGAGAGGGCGGACCAGTCAGCGGGAGCTGCGGCGGCCGACCTCCCCGGAATCTCGGGGTACTCACCGATTCCTCCTCCTGCTCCTTGGGAAATAAGGGATAACCGTCCCTTTCGCGACGCCGCCGACCGCTACAGTGGCGCTGCGGTCTCCAGGCAACCAGGACGCGCTCGAGGCTCCGCCCTTGGGCTGCGCACGTGCACAAGCCTCCAGCCGTGAAGGGGTGGGACTTGGGCAGCGGCGCGCCTGCGCACTCTGGCTCTGACGCCCTCCGTCACGAGCAGACATTCTGGCGGTGCGCCCACAGCCTAAAGTGAGAGCAGCGGATGGATGAAGGATCACTTCTCCCTGGCTCTGGCTCCCTAGGTACTCCTGCTCAGAAAGGGAGCTGGTCTGGGCTTCCCGCTGGCTTCCTCACACCTGCTGGGCACTGCCCAGGACTGCCCACAGGGGCACGAGGCTGCGGGGGAACCTGGTTGTGCTGTTACCCTCTAGCAGTCTTCGGGAGCTTATCCTACAATTTGAGTGTGAAAAAGCAATAACAAATAAGTTTAGTGCACTGTGTAAGCACGCTAGCTGTCCGCACAGCGGAACATAAAAGCCACAACTTGAGAGGAGGTAACTGCTTACAAGACAGAAAAACACCTTGAGTGTGAGAACAGATTCTGCCAATCTCTGCTGAACACAACTGGGCAGAGAACACTCAACTTTTTTAAGATTTATTTTTATCGGAAATTCAAATTTAGACAGGTGAAACCGAAGACCTTCCATCTGCTGGCTTACTCCCCAAGTAGCCGCAACAGCTGGAGCAGAGCTGATCTGAAGCCAGGAACCTCTTCTGGGTCGCCCACATGGGTGCAGGATCCCTATTTTCTTCACTGACAGGTTGGGTTTCGTACTATAACACACTTTAATTTCTGCAGTTAGATGCCAACTTGTTCATTTTGTACCATAATCGTTCCACCTTTTTCTCAAGACCTTTACTTACACATTTTATCAACAGTCAGCTATTCACACGCATGTGGCCTATTTCGAAATTTGTCATTCTGTTCCATCAGACCAACAGCCAGCCAGAAGGGACCGTCCCAACTGAGCACGGAAATAAGGAGTGAATGGGGCCCCCTGGCCATGCCATTTCTCTTCTCCAGGCAGGTCCTAAGGAGTTACTGAATAAACATGGAAAACCTCAGACACTTAACACAAAACACATTCCAAAATCACTGGGCAAAATGATGCAAAAGGCATCCTCACCCAGGCTCCTGCGCCATGAGGATGGCTTTACAAAGGGTGGGCTGAATGAAAGTGGACAGCTGTGGGCCTGGCGCAGTAGCCTAATGGCCAAAGTTCTGGCTTGTACGCGGCAGGATCCCATATGGGCATCAGTTCATGTCCCAGCTGCTCCACTTCCCATCCAGCTCCCTGCTGGTGGCCTGGGAAAGCAGTGAAGGGTGGCCCAAAGCCTTAGGACCCTGCACCCATGTGGGAGACCCGGAAAATGGCTTCAGATCAGCTCCGCTCCAGCTGCTGTGGCCACTTTGGGAGTGAGCCAGCAGATGGAAGGTCTTTCTCTGTCTCTCCTTCTCTTTGTAAATCTGCCTTCTCAAATTAATAAATCTTTAAATACAAAAAAGACGGCTGTGAGAGGAACAAGGTGGGGAACATGTAGCAGTATGTACTGCCAGTTAGGAGTATGTACTGCAAGCTATTGAGCATTCAGTCAGGTGAGGGTTCCCCAGGACATTTTAAAAATGCATTTCTTTATTTGAAATACAGCTTGAGGGAGTGGGGTGCTAGAGAAACCGGAACGTTCCGTGCACTGGTTCTCTCTCGATGATGGCAGTGGCTGGAGCTGGGCCAGCTGAGGCAGGAACTGCGTGCCGTCTCCCACAGGGCCTGCTGCTGCTTCCCCTGGCCAGGACCTGTATCCGCACCCACACGGGATGCCAGGGCTGCAGTGCTGGGCCCTCCTGGGAGTGTTTTGATCTTAGGTCTCTAACAGAACCTTCTGTTCATTTTTTTGTTCTTTTCCATTTCTGAATTTTTGGGCAGCAGACATTCATGTCATTCAACTCCAGAACTAAGTACAGTGCCAGAAACAGACAGACACCAAAAACAACAAAATGGGAGTGAGTAATGTTACTGGTAAGTCAGTTCTCCTAAATGACTGTTCCAAGCCAATTTAAGGGCGGAAGGGGAAAATGAACGAACAGTGCCGAGTTTCACTTTGCCAGTTTTCACTGCTGAAAAACATCAGGTTCACAGAGTAAAGCTGTCAGCCCTACCATCCCTGCAATTAAAACAACAATAAAAAAGCACTTGATTGGGAGAAAAAATTATGAAAAATTCTGAAACTAGAAGCACCCGTTAGGGCCAGTCTGTAAGATCGCCAGGAGGCACAGGACGTGTGAAGTTCTTCCCTTTGACACACAGGGTCCACTACACCTGCTTGGGTCTGGTTCATCCTGTTTCCATCTGTAAGAGACAGCTCTGACTCTCAGACCTTGTGGTGGCACCTGACCCACCGCACACAGCAAGGGGCTTTGCCCTTCCCGGGGAGGGAGGACGGCACCCAGGCTGAGAGGAAGGGGGCCATGTCCTCTGTAACTGCATTCTAGCTGAGCAGGAAGGGGCTACATCACATGTAATGAGTTTTTTTTTTCTTATATTTAAATTATCTGGATTATCTAAGTGTAAAGCAATCTTGCAACAAAGCAAACAGAAAATAGGCTACATACAACTAACATTCACTTTATTCAACAGTTTTCTTAACTCGTAAGACAACAAATGAGCACATAAAAAGGGAGCATCTTAATATACACTAAAACTGGGCTGGGTGTCTAGGTGTTTCAATAGAAAACGGATATCCCCGCTAACGACATGTTCTATTCAGCCTCCACCACAGTCACTCCCAGGCTGGGGTAATTACACTTGCATGTGGGGTACGTTGTTACTTTAATGACTACAAAATGAGGCACTCTTACAAAGTAGACAGGAAGGAAAACATACGCACACCGCTCTGTGTGATGCTGATGCCAAAGACATGGATGGAGATGGTTCCGGAAGAAGCCCTTACTCATGATGACAGCTGTTCTTAAAGACGTGGGGCAGGACTCCGCTGAAAGGAAAGCAGGCTGGCTGCAGGGGCCCACAGGGGAGGTGGCGTCCCAGGGTATCTTGGGGGAATAACATCTGACGTCGGCCTTTTCCTGATGGTGACTGGAGAACATTCTAAGCAGCATTTTTAAACATTCATTTAATTTTACAGTATGAAAGACTTTAAAAGGCCAGTCCTGAGAATGGAAGTAGTCACCTTGCAGTTAAACAATGCCACTGTTCTTCTATGGCAGTCTCACACTCTGTGTGACTTTTTGGTTTTGTTTTAAAACATCATCAATTCATCCTAAATCCAAGAAGTACACTTTCATAGCATTTTGCCAATACAGAAATGACACATTTAGGATCAAATAAATTGAGGAAAGTTACTGTCTATTACTTAAACAAGGGAAAGAAAAAACATAACACAAAAAGCCATAGTAGTAATATTTATATTAAATGTCTCAAGCAAAAGTCCTTTTTGTTTACATCTGGAATTGAGATGTCTCATCTTCGCTGTTTGCCCAGAGAAAGGGGGAGGGGAGGAGACCACCTTAAACAAGGAACTTTGAAAGGCCAACGAACTGTACACAAACTTCACATTGGCATTTTCCTCAGTTTTTATCTCAACTATTAGTATTTCATAGTGTAAAAAAACAAACATAATTTGCTAATAACGAACAAGTGCACACTTCAGACCATTTGTAACTGGCCATGTGAAATCCAAATGTCAATTTGTCTCCAACATACAGATAGTAATAAAGCAAAATGTTCTTTCCTGGTAAAGTTCCTTGAAGACTTTTAGCCCAATGCAAAATAAAGCAAAACTATACTATGATTTTTTTAAAAAAAATTCTACATGAAGGGCAGCAGCAGCAGCACTTTCTGAAGTATGGGTTTTCTGCATTTATAAAACTATTGCTTAAGAGTAAACCTGCATGCTAGTCAAGCAAACATACGCCAGAAAGTTCTTTCCCTATTAAAGAATTTATCTTCTTGAAAACAACAGGACAAAGCACAACTTAAAAACGAGGGTAATTCTGAAGTGAGACAATGAAAAGTTAATGGCCAGCAAAACAGAGAGCAGGCTTCGGCCACTCATATTGCTGTTTTACAAAACCCAAGACTCATCTGTAATATTGCAGCCTTAAGCTTTTTAATCTTTTATACTATCTGTTTTTGTTACTAGATATACTTCAGTGACTTTGTATCAAGATTTACAAATTCTTCAAAATATGAAAAGAAACCTAAATTAAAATAATCAGGTTACATCTCAATTCAATATTTCTCTTCCCCCTAAAAAAACCCAATTAATATAGACATATACCATAACAGGTGGAATCCCATTTTGAAATGGTAATTTTTCAGGGACTACATTTCAATGTAAAGGTAGAGTTAAAAACACCCATTTCCTATACGAGAATGGATTACTCCAAAGTGCCAAATAGTGTAACACTGAATTCTGTCAAGTTTATTTTTATACTGATATATATTTTAAAAGTAACTGTTTACCCCTTAGGGAAAAACTCTTGAAACCTAAGACAACCAAAACAGGTTGTTCTTGATTTTGGTTAGCTTATGTCTGGCTGACTTGCATGTTTTCAGAATTCCTCAATTTTAGTCCATGGATTTTAATACTTTATGGAAATTCTCTCACAGTTTCTGATGATTTTATGTTATTTTCAATGAGAATGTGTAAATTGTCACCCAAAAACAAATACTATCAGAACAACACACCGTTACCACTGAATACTTCAATCACGTGTCCAACCCTTTTGTTTTCCTAAACATTTAACTGGAAGCTTTGGTTGTAAGTGAAAACTCAGTTTGTAAGCATTCAGTCTCTTCAGTTTTACAGCACATTTCCACTGAAACACATTCCTACGTTAAAAGGCCACCTCGGCCGGCTTCATTCTGGACAAGTGGAAACAAGGCTGTTTCCGTCGCTATTCTGCTCTGTCAACAGTGTTGGGAAAGCTGGGATTTCCTGAAGCCGCAGTAGAAATGCACGGTCTTTGTCCCCAGCACTGGAGTACCGAGCAGGAGGACGGGGCTCAGCCGGTCTTCTCCAAAGCACACGCGCTCAGAGAGCATCTCAGAATGACCCAACACAAGCAGGACGCAGTGCTGCTGGTGACGGTATTCTGTGAGCTTTAAGATTTGACATGGCAATTTTGGCCACTGCTGCCAAAAAGAGAGACAGCTTTGTGTAGAAAAGCTGGGAGAGGAACTAATGAAAATCTTCGTTTTTTTTTTTCCTTTTTCCTAAGTACAGACATGCCCCTAACAAGCACAAAGACCCAACTCCCAATGCTGATCACTAGGAATATTAAATTATCAAAATTAAAAATAATTTCCTTAATAGCACAAGATACTATACAATATTACAAACACAGACACATGAAAAAAATCAGGCAGTAGAAAATGTGCAACAGCTTTGGTGTTATACAAAATAACTTCCCAAAACCGACTGACAGTGAAGCACAGAGTTCATGTTTTCTTACCAAGACACGCCACTGCTGATTTCAACTTGTTTCCGTCATGTTCCTGGTAAGGTCTCAACAGCCGAGACAGAATGTGCAGTTTCCTCAGTGAGAACTGCCTGGGACAGCGACAAGTGCACGCCACGAGACGTCACTGCAGAATCTGACCTGCGCACCAGTACTCTGGCACGTTTCCTGTCGAGATCACAGCAGGTCCAAAATAAAGTGACAACTAGATTTAATAAATTAATATACATTTTGTTTAAAGATGTACAATGCACATTCTGTTTAATCCAAGGTGTGAGGGCCTCAGGGAGCTTCTATTTACACATATACAGATCTCAGACAGCAGTGACGGCAGCAGACCCGCGCAAGCAGCAGAGTTGAGGCGGCTGCTTGCTGAATGCCGGAGACACAAGTCAAACAGAGGAAACCTAAAAACAGCGCTGAGAGCACGGAAGATCTCCAAACAGAGAAGTCCACAAAAAAGGACACATAAAGGCATGGGGAGGTAAGGAGTTGAGACAATCACTTTATTCTTGGGATGACTGTGGAGGCGGAGATGTGCCTGGTTTGCCGGATTTTCGTTCGTAGTTCACGAGGCGTTGCCCCACAAGGTATCTAGGTGTGAAAACACAGGGGTTACTCTGGTGTACCCTTGTAGAGGCAAACACCCTCCTCAAAGCAGCAAATACTGCACTTGTTGAAAATAAACTGGATCACCTTACTCCTTAGAATCCTTCGACGGTTAGGCAGGCCAAAGAGGAGTCTAGAATGAAAATCTCCAAAGGGTACCAAGGTGGGAAGCTGACACTGAGCTATGGGTTTATGGGAAAGGGAGAAGCAGCAGCACCTGGAAGGGTTCCTAAGCGGTGCGTCAGCTAGTAGTTACCAGACTTCCCATCTCAGAAACGGCCTGGTGAACAGAGCTGAGGAAATGAACACGTTCCAGTGACGTCAGGGGGAGATGCTGAGGCTCTGAGTGGGTTCACACAGCAGGTGACAGTGACTGCTCCTGACTTCATGATGTGATGAGGGCAGAGGGCAACGTCCAAAAGTGTGGGACTGCAGAAACGGTGTACCTGGAGCTCCCACCCCCAGGGAGACAGACACTTCTCACGGCAGGACAGAGCACAGGTTCCAAAGGCGAGGGTGCGTGGAGCACAGCCTGCTTCCACTGCTCCACTCAGTGCAAGGCCCTGGGGGCTGGCCACCGATGACAGGGCCGGGGAAGCTGGATGACAAGGCCTGTGCTCAGGGAAGGACCGGGCCCGGGAGCTGCTCAGCACAAGCCGGCACCTCTGTGCTGAGTGAGCCTCAAGGATGGTGAAGCTCAGCTGGGCTCGCCGAGAGCCCAGGCCATCTGACTGTGGCATGAAACGCAACATGATGAAGTGCTGGTGACCACAGACTGGCTCACACTTCACATTCCCCGAGGTCATTCTTGCTTTTCTCCACTATTTTCTGCACCCTGAGTCACAACTACCATCTTCTCTCAGTTCACATAAGGTATTCTGGCACTTTGCCCTGGCAACTTCACAGGCACCTTTTAAAAGTACATTTATCAGGGGTTGGCACTGTGGTGTACATAGCAAATGAAGCCACTGTTTGTGGCACCAGCATCCCAATGTGGGTGCCCATTTGGAGACCTAGCTGCTCCACTTCCAATCCAGCTGCCTGGGAAAGTAGCGGAAAATGGCCCAAGTGCTTGGACCCCCGTAGCCATGTGGGAGGCCGGGAAGAAGCTCCTCGTTCCTAGCTTCTGTCTGGCCCAGGTCTGACTGATGCGGCCATTTGGGGAATGAGGCAGCAGGCAGGAGACTGCTCACTCGTGCCCTTCCTCCCTCCAACTCTGCATTTCACAAAATTACCAAGTATATTCATACTGCTTCTGTCTGATATCAGTTTAATCCCTTTATTTTGTCAGTTCTTTGCCAAAAGCCAATGAGTTCTCATCCCAGTATTCTCCAAGGAATCAGTGTTTCCTCTGAACTGCTAGAGCAACATGACACATTATACACACACGTAATCATAATCACGAAACACAACCAGACTGTGGCAATGAGAAAGCAAGTAAAAAAAAACCTGCTCATGAACTTCCCGACACTGATGGTGCCTCGGAGCAAGGAGCCTGTGTCCCCCACTGACTCTCACCCCCCCCACTCCTGCACCCCCATGTCCATCACACAGGACATGCACACCCAGCACCGGCTACACCATGGTGCACAGCAGATATGCACCAGGGGATTGCGTCTTCAGTGCAGTCTACAGTGAAGCTTTCTGATTAGAGAAACAGCAAGAGAAAAGGGTGTACTGGGCTGGAAGGAAAACAGTAGGAATGATAGGAAATGGTGAAAGCAATGGGCATGGATGCTGGGAAGACCCGTGAGGGCAGGGATGAAGAAGGGCCAACTCCACTTGGGACCGTGGAAGCAGGCAGAAAGCCCCCTGGCTGTCAGGTTTGTAGTACCGTCTGCTGTACTCACTCCTTCACTCCAGCAAGATAGAGTCAGCACTGAGCAGACAGCCCCTTCCTCCAGCACGGAGGGTCTCTGGACTGTTCCTGTGTATTCTTTACTTTCGGCAGGTGCTCTGGAGGACCTGAACACTTCAACCTCCTCCTTAGAAATGCTGCTCGTTGGAGTCCTCAAAGTAAGAGGACCTACAGCACACATTCAAAGTAGAAACCCAAGAGTCAAAGAGGGTGCTGATGATAAGGACATGTCCCAGCAGGCTAGGACAGACACAAGCTGCCAGACACCATCAAAGCAGAGGACCCAATTTTCATTAGGGCAGGGCAGGACAAAGAGCTCTGTGGGCCCAGGAAGCCACTTCCTTGACTCTCCATGATGTCTCCCTGAGATCCAGTTTCCAAGAGTTTCTTCAAACACACAATCTCTTTGTGCAATCTCCAAAAAACCTGGAAGCCCTAGGCCACCAAAAAGGCAAGTGCAGCTCTGTGGTTTTGAATGAAAGCATCTGATATCAATGATTTACTATGTGGTCAGACCAAAACGTAAGAAAACAGATTGAACAACTATTTAGAAATGGCATTAAAATTGTTTCTTCTCCAAACCAGTTCCTCCAACTTTTTTCCAGCTCTGTAAGTGACAACTTCAAGTTTCTGGTCACTCAAGAGCAACTGAATCCTTGATTCACTCTCCTCCACTTCCTAAACCCAGTATGTTAGCAAATCCTCCCTCAAAACATAAGCAGAATCTGAGCACTCTCTCTGATGATACCTTAACAAGAGTGGCAAGATGAATGGAATACAAGACTTACTTGTCGTTTTTAATATGTTCATAAAGGCGCTTGAACTGACGGACCTGGAAGGACAGGATTCCCATCAACACCACGACCATCAGTAAAAATGGATAAATCCGCCGGTGGACCAGGTTTTGCATTTCTGCAGTAACACCTAAAAATCAACAAAACCAACTGGTAAGTGTATGTGAAGTAACAGTGGAATGAAACACAGCTTTTCCCCCAGGGAGAGGGCGCCAGGCACAGCAGAGTAAGTGTTCAAGTGAGTTTTAAGCTCTGGCTCTGTGACCTGCCAGCCAACACCCAGCTTTCCCCTCTATAAATGGGAGAGGTGGGCTGGATGACTGCCGAGCTCACACACTGTGGATTCCAGTGCCCACAGCAGTGATGCCTGGTACCCGTTTCAGGCACTTGCAGCAGAAACACCACCAATCAGACGGGCTTTCCTAACTGCAGGCTCTATTCCTTTCCCCTCCGAGAAAGGAGTCCTGAAATGCACACTGACCACTCGTGCCCCCGTCATCTGGCTTGTTTTAGGACGCTCAACCTTGTTTCTTGACATCATAAATTCTAACTCTGCCTTGAGGGATGGGAGGGAGTGGCTAGAAATCAAGAGTTGGTATTCCCAAGGGAAGCAGGAAGCTCCAACACAGTTCTGTGGTAAGATAAAGAAAAAATCTTGGGTTTACATCGAAGTGTGGAGTCTGTGGACTCCATAAACCTCACTTTCCTCATCCCTAACACAGAGATTAAAAACCACCCCAAAAGCTCCTCCGATAATAATAGTAAGAATTACGTTAAGCATCTAAACAGACGCCAGAAAACGCTAAAAATGTTCACTAATTTTCCCCTTCTAAAATTTTTTCAATAGGCTCACAATGAAACTTTAATCATGAAAATATAACACAGTTTTGGTTTTAAAATCCAATAGTAAATCATAACTACATACTATTAATGAATAGATTATAACATACATTAATAAGTAGAACATAACACTTTTAAGATATTAGGGTGCTCCTACTATAATCAAAATAGTAACAAAAGTAAATAATTTTTATTGAAAAAATTTCTTAAAAGATACTAATATGAAAGGCGGAATTTCAAACACCAAGGGAGAGCAAGAGGAGCAGAGAGAGTGAGAGACAAAGATCTTTCATGCACCGGTTCATGTCCCAGTGGGAGGTAACAGGTGGGGGTGGGGGCTGCAGTCAGGAGCCTGGAACTACCCCGTCTCCCCCACATCGATCCAATGCCCAGACTCGGGCCACCAGCCGCGGCTTGTCTAGGTGTTATTAGGAGCTAGACTGAAGGTGAAGCAGCATGCTCTTACGGGATGCCAGTGTCACAGGCAGCAGCTTACCCTACTGTGCCACAATGCGGGACAAAAGTATCCTTCTAAAGAGTCAAAATGATAAACTTCAGTGAAGCGTTCTGCAAACCAAGTCACAGGCTTTGAATTATATTTTGTCTTACATATTTTAATACAATATGTGTGGCATAGTCACAATGCAAACCCAACAAAAGTCTCTAAGTTTTTAACTCAGAAGGAACCAGAATATGAGGTCAACTGCTGACTATGGCCTCCCCCAGTTTAACTCTTGCCAGTTACCCGGGCTACTTGCTTGTTAGGAGACAAAGGAAGGCTGGTCTTCCTCTACCAGCCAGTGCATAGCCTGCTTCCTAACTGTTGTCTTACTGAGAAGCCACTGAGACGCTCTGAAGGGAAGGCAGGGCACACACGGAGGGAGCTTGTCAGGAGAGTTCTCCTAAGGCCCCTCTAGGCTCGCAGCTTTCCCTGCAGCGCTGAGGGCCTCTGCTTGCAGCCAGGTGACAGAGCAAACGCACTGCTCCTCCTGGCAGAAGCAGGACAAAGTGCGAGAGGACTGGGCGTGTTCGAACAGAGCCCCCTGTGGCTGTTGAACTGAAACCAGCATGCAGGACACAGAGTGAGGCAGCAACTAAACAAAGAGGCCAGATTAACCTAGTTTGGCATCAAGTATTTCATGGAGTTGGATTGTTTTTTTACAGGTCATGGAAGAATCAACTAAAGATGTTTACCAACCGGATGAGTGCTTGTGGCGAAACAGCGGTCTGTCTACCAGACTGACTTAGGCAACTTGTCGGATGCTAACACTGTCAATGAGAGAACTAAGGAAAAGACACGTTTGGAGGGGAAAATCCCACTTTCAGTTTAAAAAATATGCTGACCTGGACACACTGAGAACCAATAAGACAATGGCTCTCTAGCTACTGAAGTTCCACAAATTAGCACAACCTCTTCCGTTTTCCTTGTATGTTAAAAAACACTGAAAAAATTAATTATAGGGCCTGACGCACCAGCCTAGTGGCTAAGGTTCTTGCCTTGCATGCACCAGGAACCTATATGAGCACAAGTTCTAATCCTGGCAGCCGGGCTTCCCATCCAGTCCCCTGGTTGGGGCCTGGGAACACGATCGAGTACGGGCCAAAGCCTTGGGACCCTGCACCCATGTGAGACCCAGAAGATGCTCCTGGCTCCGGACTGGCACAGCTAAAGCTGTTGCGACTGCTTGGGAAGTGAATCAGTGGACAGAAGATCTTCCTCTCTCTCTTCTCCTCTATGTATATCTTTCCAATTAAGAAGAAAAGTAATTAAAATTTTAAAAAACTAATTATAATTTTTTCTGGGTCTGATGCAATAGCCTAATGGCAGAAGTCCTCACCTTGCAAGCGCCAGGAACCCATTTGGGTATTGGTTTGTATCCTGGCGGCCCTGCTTCCCATCCAGTTTCCTGCTTCTAGCCTGGGAAAGGAGCTGGCCCAGGGGCCTTGGGACCCTGCATCCATGTGGGAGACCCAAAAGAAGCTCCTGGCTCCCGGCATCAGATCAGCTCGGTTCCAGCCATTGCAGCCAATTGGGGGGAGAATCAGTAAGCAGATGGAAGATTTTCCTCTCTGTCTCTCCTCCTCTCTGTAAATCTGGCTTTCCAAAAAAATGAATAAATATTTTTAAAAATTAAATAATTTTTTCATATGAGTGCCAGTTGTGTCCCAGCTGTTTCTGTGTCCAGTGCAGCTCCCCGCTTGTCCTGGGAGAGCAGCAGAGGATGGCCCTGGTCCTGGGCCTCTGCACCCACAGGAAGACAGAGGAAGCTCCTGGCCTCTGGCTTTGGATCGGCTCAGCTCCACCCCTGCAGCCACCTGAGGAGTGAAGCAGTGGAAGAGCTCTCACTGTCTCTCCTCTCTAAGTCATTCTTTCAAATAAACCTTTAAAAAATTTAATGCAACAAGTCCTCCGAGCACGCTGCACAGCAGGGACCCTGGGATGACACTGGGAGGCAGCTCCCCACCCTCGGGTACTGGGGTGGCTGGGAGGCTAGGTCGGCTTCTCCCCTTCTAACCCCCTTCCGCCAGATACAGGAAGAAAAAGAAATTTATAAGCTATGGGCTCACTCACTTTCCCCTAATCCTTGACCCTTCTCACCCTAATCAACTATGTAAATACCTTTAAAAATAAAATTTAAAAAAAAAGCAACAATATTTTTACTTAATTTTTCAGGCTATGATCACAACACTTCCATTCAAGCAAAAACACAGTGATCTAAGAGGAGTGAATCTCAATATCCAGTCATCTTCCTAGAGATCCGCTTCGCCCGAGCAGTCTGAGGTCACTGCTGAGCTAGACGTGCAGGCACAACGCTCCTGGAGCCGTCTCCTTGCTGAGCAACGCCTCCAGGCTGACGTCCACAGCCAGCATTACTCACCCAGCAAAGGAACGACACCCGAAGCTATGACGTAGGGGACACACAGGGAAAGCAGCAGCACACAGATCACCGGAGCTGCCAGCTTCCGAACAATGTAGTGAAGGTCAATGTTTCGAATGCCATTTGCATAAACCTGAAACAACAGGAAAAAACAAATTAGCACAGAAACAAGACAAACCGCTCCAGGCAGAGTTGTCTCCACTGGATCCCGTTCACAGGGTACTGAATCCACCAAACCAAAAGGGCTGGAATTGGTTATTTTTTCTTGAGCAAAGGCAAATTCTGAAATACAAACACAGGCAGAGTACCCATAGGTATTTAAGGAAGCATGTTTACTCATGAATACTCTGCAGTGTTACCTAGGGGTTGCATAGCAGTGTATCATGTTAAGCTTTTGTGTGTGATGCCAGCAGCCCGTACGTGCGCCAGTTCGCGTCCTGACTACTCCACTTTTGAGCCAGCTTCCTGATAACAGCCTGGAGAAACATCAGAGGACGGCCTAAGTGTGCAGACCCTCCTGTCTGATCAACCTTCAGCTATCAGAAGGCTTGAGAGTGACAGAGGAAGTGGCTGGCGTGTGGGACCTCTGGCAGGGGTCCTGCTGTGCACCCTGCAGGAGCACAGGTGTGGGAAAGCTCCCCGGGCCATGCCCGTGTGCCGAGCCTCAGGCACTGCAGAAAGGCCGGACCCTTCTGCCCGGCATACGCAATCTTGATGAACAAGCTTTACCTCTACAAGTTACTGTCCCTAAAGCCCTTTTCCTTTATCCTGCCACTTCTCCAAAATTTTATTCTGTACTGAAGATGCCACACATGCTGAAATTCAGAAGCACTTTTTTGAAAATTATTCATTCCCTAATTATCTCCTATGAATAATACCTTTATATTTTTCACTTTTTCTTGAGTTAACCTGTCATTTCATTTCTTATATAATTCCATTTAAACTGAAAACTTATCAAAATTAATAAATATATTATTTTTCTCAGGGCCAGTACTCAGATACAATGGGTGCTGGCTTGAGCCCTGGTTGTTTCAATCCAGTTCCTTGCCTAATGCTCTGGGGAAAGCAGCAGCAGACGGCCCCTATCTGCGCCCGCAAGGGAGACCTGGACAAAGTTCTGGGCTCCTGTTGTCGGCCTGACCAAGGCACCGGTCACTGTGGTCATCTGGGAAGTGGACGGAAGGCTCTTGCTCTCGTTCCCTCTCCCCCCTCCCCGGCTCGCTGTTTTGTAACTCTTTCTACAAAAGCAACCAGTAATTTTTAAACATCAATGAAATATTTAATCTTTCCTACAGTGGTAAAACAAAACTCCCTTGAATGATACTTATATGTGGGTCTTGCCTAGTGAATAAAACTGCTGCTTATAAATACCAGCATTCCACTTGGGCAACGGTTCAAGTCCCAGCTACCACTTCTGATCCAACCCTCTGCTAACGGCCTGGGAAAGGCAGCAGCAGACGGCCCCAGTGTATGGGCCCTGCAGCCACAGGGGAGACCTCACAGAAGCCTGGCCTAACCCTGGTCTTCAGAGAACTAGAGAACGGAAGGCATCTGTCTGCCCCTCTCTAGCTCTCTGAAATAACGACTTTTCTCATTATAAACAAATAAACAAAAAACTGCAGAAAATTCACAAAAGCAGAAAAAGGAGAGTTCCTTCAGCTAAATATACTCAGGAGAGACTCCACAATGCCTTTCTCTGATCACGAATGGTACTCACCTGTTCAATTACAGTTTTCAGCCACCATTGAGGGCCCATCAGTGTGATAGCTGCAATGATTTTGGCATGCAGGACTCCAAGTGCCCAGTCCTAAGGTAATAAAAACCACTTCACACATCATTGTTGCTCAAACAAACTTCTTACATTATTTCACTTCTGCAGGACTGGTAAGAATTTCACAGAAGATTAGCATATTGGAAAATACACAGGATTGGTTTTTTCCTCAACAGCTCAAGTTTCATAATTCTATCACATTCATTCTATATCATTTAGAAATCTACATATTTTCCTGGGAGGTTGGGGAAAGTCAGAGGATGGCTCCAAAGTTTGGGCCGTGCTAGCCACGTGGGAGACCAAGATGAAACTCTCGGTCATCTGGGGAGTGAACCAGTGGCTGGAAAACATCGTTATGTTTGTCTCTCTCACTTCCTGGAACTCTCTCAAAAACACTGATTTCACTCCACCTTCATTATTTGGCATCACTCTGTTTAGGCAAGAAGAAAAAGAAAAGACTTTTCTATATAGTTCTTACACAAAGATGTCACCTCTGCCTCTCTTATTGACTTTAGTCTGAGTCAGACTGCACCAGGAGCAGTTTCCTATGCAATACGCTCCTGCACTATCAGTCTGCCTTTGGCTCCTTCCTGAAACACACTTCTTTCTTGCCCATTTCACTAAACTCCACTAATTAAACTGGGCTTATATGTTACCATCTTCAGAAAACCCTATCTGAAAGTTTCAAAATCAGGGTAAAATACCCTGAAGGCTACTGTGCATCCCCAGGCAGCCCACACACCTGTGAACCTGTCTAGCTTACCCACCCTAAGGTAAAAACAGAAATTGCTATAAAATGCCTTTTTTATGACTGACATTAGTGCCTTGTTCTCTTCTCCAGTTAAGAACTTGAGATCTTAATTCTATACAGTTGTAACTTCAGGTTCTAAGCACAACAGCCAAGTTACCCTTATTTTCCAATGAGCTTTAAGACCTTTGCTGTACCCTGCATGGGATTCCACAGGATGCTCTTAACGACCCACTGACTTTGTGGGAAAACATGCTGTAATAAATGCTCCAAAGTCAAAAGCCGCATCACACACAAAGGTGCAAAGACCAAGACATTTTAAATTACACCTTTGAATGTTGGAGAAATAACCCATATACTTGTGAGATTTCAATCTAGAAACTATAAAATTCCTTTAAAGGAATTCCATGCCCTGTATGGTATATTCTGAAAGCAGATTAATGATCATTAAACCACTGTCACAATACCTCCCGATTCCAAATCCTTAATGAAATGACATCAACAAGACACACATTTACCTGCCATGGATAAAAAAGAGGAGTCTGATCCAACGGGACTCTGAGGGGAGCCACAATGACCAGCTCAAACAGGAGCCCAAGCAGGAGCGGGACGACTCCAGCCAGCAGCATGGCAACTATCAATGTCTTCATTATCTGTTAGGAAACAAGCGACCGTGTCATCCAAGAATATCTGCGGGACTTTAGCCAAACTCGGCACTCCATGTTAACAGGATGTCTAAGACTTTTGTATGTATGTAATTGTAAGAGCCCAGAATCAAAACCTAAAATTACTATGCAATGCTCCTACAAAAGAGAAAATGACAGAAAATTCATTTCACTAATACATCAATGAAATGGCTGTGCTGCTTTACTCCCAATCCCATTCTCACAATCAAGCTTTGTCCAAGGAAACTGACTGGTTAGGTTCTCTGGTGCAACTGCTGGTGTGGTGCAGTGACACACACACACACACACACACACACACACTGAACTGGAAGGGTTCTGCACAATGCTAGAGAACTAACCAGGCTGATCAATCTGGTGCCTCAGAACAGTGCAGCCCAACAGAGCTTACTGAAATGATAAAAGGTCCTGACTGTCCCATATGCTAGCTGAGTAGTTTCTGCATGTTGCAGACAGCATAGCTAGAGAATTCAGACCAAGCAGACAATGAGAATAAAGCTGAGGCAAAGAGGATATACACTAAGGAAGAGCAGCCACAGATGTCTGACACAAAGTCAGCCTTTAAAATGTCATAGGAGTTTGAGAACCTCTCCTTTTCTTAAGGTAGCCTTGGTGAGCACGACTGCACGTAACATGCATGGGAGACACAGAACTGGCTTCTTTACTTGTTCATCTACATGACAAATGAAAAATAGAAATAGTCATTTCTTAAAGTGTGACAATAGTAAAATGTCCTGTTATCTTTGGGATTGATTATCAAACTCCTTTACTCATAATACACAAGAATCTCTCACTATAAAAATAAATTTTAACACTATCATTAAATGGATAAACTTTTAGTGAAACCAAAGTATAAGTTCAGACACAAAACTAGAGTTGATAATACAAATGAGAAATATTTGTCACATTACATATAATGCCAACATTACATACAGATATAAACTACCACACCTGGGTAAGCATCTTAAATTTTTAAAAATCCTACATTTCTGGCATCCAGTTTTTTTACTAAGAGCAATTATGTCCACTAATTATTATACTTTTACATTAGCCAACATATTTCTGAATTAGCAGTATGCTATATAATTAAAAGAACCCCACTTATTTGAAAAACATTAACTGGATCCTAAGAAAATATATGTTGCGGCATAGCAGTTTGTAAATCTGGCATCCTATATGGGCACCAGTTCGAGTGCCAGCTGTTTTACTTGACGCAGCTCCCTGAGACAGCCTAGGAAAAGCTGCAGAGGATGGCTAGGTCACCGGAGACTTGCAAGCAGCTGCTGGCTCTGGCCAGCCCAGCCCTGACCTCTGAGGCCATCTGGAGAGTGAAACAAGAGGGCCCAGGACCTGTCTGTCCCTCCGGCTCTCCCTGTAACTGACTCCCAAGTACATACATAAATCTTTAAAATAACAAGATAATTACATATGTTCAAGGAGATTTAAAAATCCTAAAGGAAAATTCTGCTTAAACTTAATATTTAAATCTACAGAATATCTCTCCTTAAAAATACAATGATAAGTTTTCCTAGACTTTTAATTATTTTACTTACATAAGGGATTTAACCACATCACTTAAGTACATGTTTTTCTTGTATTGCTCAAAAATAAATCTAAGACTGAAGTTCACACAATGAATCAGAAAGCTACTATCTTAAAGCTATTCTAAATAAAAAAGTCAACTCTCCTTACAGTATCAGGAAAATATAAAGAAAACTTATTAAAGTGTGGGAAAAAACGGTTTAAGAAATAGCTTGAAAAACACTCACTACTCTTCCTCAGGCAAGACCAGTATTCTGTAACAACTCACCATGAGGGACCACTCTTTAACCTTCTGGAAGATGACTCTGCGGCCCTGGGGCATCCACGCCAGCAGCACGGTCACAGCCCTGATGGTGAGCCAGCAGACATAGAGGCCACAGGCGGCCGTATAGAGCTCATGGATTTTGGCAGTCCCCGTCCAAAACGACATTAACCAACGCCCAGCAAATACTGAAAATAGAAAGGCTGACAAATGAGACTCACCACCGCCAGGTAGAGAACTGTAATCCTGATGTCCTGTTAGCACCTTCACATTAGAAAAATGTATCATACTCTGATGTGCATCAATGATTACAACAACACCACCAACAAAATAAAACAAAAAAACAACAGAAATCAAACTCTAAAGAGTAAACGATACTTGAATCACACTTGAATCCACGTGAATCCACATTCCTGGGCTAGGCACTTTGATTATCCTGCCAAACAGTTCATTTGGGTCTGGAAAGGCTTGAAGACCCTGTTCTTTTTTGTGTTCTCATTACATGACATCATTCCAAGTATGGCAGGGGCCGGGGCAGGGGCAGGGGCAGGGGCAGGGGCCGGCCAGTCCACTGGCTGAACAAGGATCACAGAATCATTTGGTCTGGCCCTGTCATTTTGGGACTCATAATTCAATTCCTCTACAGAAGGCTAATTTTTAAGTTACAATTTTTTGTAGCCAGTAAATGATGTTCTAAATACCCGAATGACCCTAGGCAGAAAAAGCTTCCCTGCCCCTGAAATGTAACAAAGGTGGACAACTTCTTTTCTATTTTCTGTGCTATAAACAATTTCAGTATCTGGGAACTTTCTTTCAACTGTTTCATTTATCAAGACAGAAAACTAAGCTTATTCTAACAAGGAATGGGCAAAACAAAAGTATCCCACAGTACAACAATCAAAGAACAGTAAAATTTCTTAGAAAAGAATTAAGATAAATGTATTGAAACATAAGAAACCCATCTAAGAGCTACTGAAGGGCGTGGTTCCCATAAGAATCCTGAGGAGTAAATCCTACAGTGCACCACAGCAGTGCTAAGACCATTTATGTACTTCGGCAACTTGAACAGCAAGAAGCAAATTTCTTGAGTTTTTCTGCCACCTTTGGTTGCCTTTCTAATGTGGTGTTACTGAACTTAATCTCGAAGGAGATGGCGAGTACCTATAACAAGCAAGGCTCTATTAGACATCCCTTGTGGACGGGGCTTCCGGTGTAAAGACTGAGAAACCAAAGCTCAGTGTGGCAACCTTTCCCAGCCTTGTCACTCAGAGTAGAGCCCAACTCCAAGGCATGTCTTCAAGGCCAAACCCATGCTCCTCACCACAGAACAGCAACGCCTCCACACTAACTTAGCACAGCTCAACAGCCAAGTCTTACAACTCACTGAGCATCACAGCCTGCTTGCAAACTGCTAAACAGCCTGGCGGTGAAAATCACTTTCAAAGACAAATATATGTCAATGTCACTCTATGTTCATTTGAAGAAACCAAAATCATCACTGATCATTGCGCAGAATACCTAGACCTGTCCATTCATTTCCAGTCTAGGGTTTACACTTTCCGGTGTAACTTGTTTCTCATTTAACGGCATGGCCTAGCCTCCACTTCACATACTCTAATCAAAGAAGCGCTTTTGAGAGAATGGGGTTAGTTGTTCATTTGAGAAACGTAATATCAGTTAGCTGGAGCTCTGGAGTACCCTCATCACCTCCATGCACACTCAGAGCCTCAACATTTCTGTAATTAGCCACAAACAGCTGCATTCTTTTTATGAATCTGCGGAACTGTATTAAAGAGAAACAAAAATGTTAAGCAAAATCACTCACTGCGAAACAGAAGTATAAAACTAGCGTTTTACTTTTTGTTAAATTTTTAATATTTGATGAAAACTTAAAAATGAATGTAACAATCACAAATATAAAACTGCCCCAAATTTAAAATCTACATTTTCTCATCAATATTTTCTTATATGGAACTCACTGTTTAGCTAGTATCTGTCATTAGTGGGTGCAAAGCTGTACAAGTAAAAAATCACTACACAAAAACAATCTTCAATTTCACTAGTTTTAGGGGAAAAAAATCACAATTTCCATGAATTCAAAAAGATTTTTTTTCTTTAGAAACATCATTTGAAGTTAATTTTCCTAATTGTTCTTTCCCAGACTAAGCTCTCATGGGAAAACACAAATATTTAGTACAAAGTTTGTTTGTAAGATTATCTGAGTGTTATACTGAGGAACAACTCAATAAACATATTTATATTTCGTAACGGTTGAAACTCAGCCTACATTACTGATGAGTTCGGCGGTCAGTGCACACCAGTGCAGAGTAGGCTTTACAGGCCGACGAGGGAGCCAGGCGCTCTGCCCATCTGCCAGTGGCTCGGCCCTGCAGCTCTAGCTCTCCGGGACTGCGCAGGGGAACGTCAGCAGCTCCCATATTCACCCACATACATCCTCACTTAGCTAAAGAAGCACTGCTCTGCTGAAATTTCATGAAATTACGAGAATAAACATAATTAACACCAAAGACTTTCTGGAAAAACATGATTTAAGTCACACAGATGACTTTTAGAAAATCCACACATGTCACAAAATCCAAGTCAGCTCATTTTACTTCTAAAATTAAATTTAAATCAAAATGCTAGTCAATCAAAGAACAACTACTTCTTCCATATTTGACAAAAATGAGCTCTCAGATATGGCCATCTTCTTCTTTTTTAAGCAGAAAGCCTTCACGATGTTATCGGCAGAAAGCAGAAATCGGGACATACCTGGTAGAGTAAGGCAGATGAGGCTGGCAATGAGTAAGGTTATGCACATGAACACAATCAGCAGGAATATCTGTGGATTGAAACACAAGGGATGCGAGCGTTCCTGAGTGCCGACGGAAGCGCCCCAAAGCCCACACAACTGCCTCACTACACGGCTGCGCACCTCTGTATTTCAGCTTTCCTGCAACTTCACGCTGAAAGAAAAATCTTTAAATTATCTATACTTAAAGGAAAATAAGGATCTATTTTCATATAATTAGAAGCATCTTTCATTAACACACAATCTTTAATCAGAATAGAAAAATAAAGCAGTCAGCTTTGGCTTTCCCTTTGCAGACCCAGAAGAAGCTCCTGGCTCCTGGCTCCAGCTCAGATCTGGTCACTACGATCACTTGGGGAGTGAGACAGCGGACGGAAGATCTTTCTGTCTTTTTCTCTGTAAATCTACCTTTCCAATAAAAGACAAATCTTGAAAAAAGAAAAGTAAATGTAAATAGCCGTGAGTTGCTAGTGGCTCTCCCGCTGAGAAATGCAGAGAAAAGGAAGCCCTCTGGTGACGGGGAGGCCGGCCTAGGCAGCGCACGCACTGGCTCTCTAACCCAAGGCCCATGAGCACCACAAGATCACAACTTCAAAATAAGAGAGCCATCTCCAGCATAAGATAAACTCAATCACAAAATAATGTGGTAAAACAGGTTTTTTTTTTAAGTTTTATTTTAATTTCCATTGGAAAGTCATATATGCAGAGGAGAGACAGAAAGATCCTCCAGCCAATGATTCACTCCCCATGTGACCGCAACATCTGGTGCTGCGCTGATCTGAAGCCAGGAGCCAGGAACCTCTTCCAGGTCGCCCACACGGGTGCAGGATCCCAAGGCTTTGGGCTATCCTCAACTGCCTTCCCAGGCCACAAGCAGGGAGCTGGATGGGAATCAGGACTGCCGGAATCAGAATTGGCGCCCACATGGGATCCTGGCACGTTCAAGGTGAGAACTTTAGCCACCAGGGGATGTCAGGCCCAACAAGTTCTTGTTAGTAATAAAGTGCTAACCATGTCTACTCAGAGGACTGGACACTAACAGCACCAATTTGTATCAGAAACCTGGAAGAACCAGCTCTGGTGAAGATGGCCCCGTACCTACCCTGAGTGGGAAACGCAGAGGCCGGCGGTAAGGCTGAAAGCCGACAGGGCCGCCCTGCTGCAGTATGGCCTGGTGAGCTGCGTGCAGACCTTCGCCCACCACGGGCACTGCATTGTTGTTTCTAGCATGCTGGTTGTTGTTGACTTGTTGATTTGCACTGTTCTCATTTTCTTCCTGGTCTCCCAATAAATAGGAATGGAGATCCCTATGTAAGAATTACATCAGTGAAGTCTCATTTGAGGTCAGAATGAAGCAGCAGCCATGAGCCACACACACTATTACTTCAGTCTGGATTAAATGCTGGGATGTTTTACATTAAACCTTTAAAATTCCATGTTAATACAATGTAGAGAAACGGAGTTTTTGTTCTGTACAAATGCCTAGTGTAATATCAACTAGAGCCTCCAGCTACAAATCAGTTAATGCAAAAGTAATTCAGGGGAGGGTGGTGGCAGTGATCAGGAAAGGCCAGATCTCAAACATAACCAAATCCCTATTTCATGTTAAGGTATCTGTCTATCTGCAGGATGCCAAACATGTACCAAAAGTTGAAGTTCAGGAGGTCATCAAGCACACACCGACACGGTGCTGCCTGTACTCACAGCAAGTATCCGGCAGTAACAGTCCACGCCCGCACGAGTCCCTTCAGCCACTGCCGCGTGTGTCCCTGCTCCAGCAACGCTGGCAAGACGACCTGCAGCAGCAGCAGCTCCAGGGATAACTCACTCACCGGAGCGTCACTGCAAAACACAGAGCCCTGATTTAGCACGTACATTCTACTTCCTTTTAAAGCCCTATTATCTAAACACTTACTGGAATTACAACAAAGTTCCTTAAAAGCTGAATAAACTCACTAATTTTACTATTTCTCTTCCAAATCTCTCAAACCTAGTGAGCATCCCCTTCAACTCCACCAACACTGCTCCTAGTAAGCATCATGAACAACCCGGAGCTTGTGACGTCACTGCTCAGGTTCTCGGTTCTCACCTCACTTGTTCCCTAAGCAACATGTACCACAACTGCTCACTCCTTCCTTCTCCAAACAAGGCCTCCTGCTTCCCTGCAGACACTGGAAGGTCCTCAGCTTCGACCTTTCTTTTCTAATCTACACTTTCTCTGGGTGAATGGGAGCCTTAATATGGGCTGAAATATCAGCTTTCTGCATATTTCTCAGACATCTTCCTAAACTTCTGATAGATCTAGTGTCACTTCATCAACCCATGGTGACATGTGCTGGATGTCTGAGATTGACCACAGTTGGCATCAGGCTCCCATTCCTCCCACAGTTGTACTCATCTCAGCAGTTGACAATTCTATTCTTACAAAGGCTCACTTGTCGATGATAATCTTTACATCTTACAATCAAACGGCTGGAGAAACCTGTGTCCTGTCCCTTAACAATACCTTACATCCTATCCACTTCTCACAGCCTCACTGCCACTGCCTCCATCTCTGCCACATCTACCACGTTATACTCAACCTCCTGAGGTATAATCATAGCTTCCTGTGTGAACAACCATTTTAACCCAATCTCTTTATCACAGCAGCCGGAGTGACACTTCAGACTGACCCTTTGCAGGTTGTCCAAGAGTGTAGGTTCAGCACGATCCATAAGGCTTTCTAGCAATAGGGCTTCTAGGATTTCTGACTCTAGGCCAACTAGCTTGCCTTCCCCTTGTACTGCAGCTAAATTCATGTTCCTATCGTCTCTCAAACAAAACTATCTACCAGAGCCTCTGAAAGACACCTGCCTTCAGGAATCTGCACGGCTCATCCCACCATCACTTCTCCTTCAGAGCTTCCCCCAGCTGTCATTCTTCAGATCTGCATTGGTCACTATTTATATACATATATTTACTTGAAAAGCAGAAAAGAGGTAGCCCCCATTTGCTGCTTCATTCGCCCGGAAGCCTTCAACAGCCTGCCTGTTTGGGGCCAGGCCAAAACCAGAAGGCAGAAAGTCAACACAGGTCTCCCACATAGGTGGCAGGAACCAAAGTACTTAAGACTTCCCTTGAGGCAGGGGGCACATTAGCAAGATGCTGGAAATGGAACCAGAGGGGAGGGGAGCTCAAACCTGGGCAGTGGATACAGCACACAGGCATCGCAGCCACCTGCCCCATGGCACCTCTCACAAAGAGTACAAGCATGTTTTTAGAAAACCTAGAGGCAATGGTGAGGCTGGACTGAGAATGGAAAGCACGAGGTCAGCTTGAGTTAAGATACCCAAATGGCAAGCCAAGCTGCATCTGGGAAGCCAACCACAGGAATAATGCAAATTACTAAGAAACAGAGTATAGGGTGAAGGGTAGGAATTAAGTTTCCAGGCAACTTAAACTTTTAAACTATTTTCCATCTATACATCTTACATTCTACATTCAGTCCATAATGAAATGTTAACTTTGGCTTCATTTCTTATGATATGCTTTTTGATATAAAGATAATGCTATCACCACACTCACATTAGATATGCTAAAACATTTCAATGCTGACCATACACATACTTTTTCATTTGCAGAAAGATAATGTTTGTTTGGAAAATGTCACCAACAAATGTTTATGTGATCTAGAATATGGTAAAATTTACCTGTGAGATGACTCCCAATATCTATAAGAAATGAATGTTTTAAATATTTAATAGAATCTGAGTATCAAAATCATACAAAAATATAAATTAGTAGGTTTTTCCAAATTTCAACTCTTACCTGTAGAGCATGACATTGTATGGAAGAAAATGAGGCAGCAGACTCTTGATGACGCGTATAGGAAGCCAGAGCATCAGGAGGACGATGGAACCAAAGACAATCTGCAGACACACACAGGCGACAGCACTGACACCCCAGCACCCACCTCCCAGTCACAGGGCAGCTGGGAGCCCACACCCAAGGGTGCACACTTGACACACCGTCCTCCGGTCATGTTGTATAGAAATGTGTTCCTAAGATGGCTGGTCCTTTTGCTTTAAAGATCTGCCTCTCTCTAGGACATGAGACTAAAGCAGAACCCTCAAGAGATACCTCTCCATGGTATCATTGCATGATTCAACACACCACCATGTGCATGGCTACAAAAGTGTCCAAAAGGCACAATGTTGCTGTTAAAATTCTATCTTAAGAAGTTTATGTTTATACCCAAGCAACTGCTTCTTCCAAGCAGGGAAGGCATTTTGAAATGTTTCTGCTAAGAACTTTATTTCCAAGCCAATATTTGATATAATGCAAATTAAATGTAATTTCAGTCACACATAATTTGATCACCTTTTCTATTACGCAGACCTAAAAGGCAATCAGTTCAGTAACTATCCCTTACTTTATTAGTGTGACCAGTGAAACGGCTTTTTCACAACTGACTTTCAGACTTCAATGTAAGTCATTCAATATGTGCTACCAGCCATCATGAAACAAAACACATTTCTCTCAAAAGCAATGGGAAAATCTGCTCACCACTGACAAGATGAATCTCCTGAGATGCCTGTAAATGGGCAAATGGATCATTTCCTGAACTGGATTGAAATCTGGATCATTCAAATTTCGTAGGAACCACAAGACCCCAGGTCGAAGAACCTGTAAGCATAATTTAAGTACCATAAAAATTCATCAATGTCTCCAGGCTCTGTTTATAAGCTAAAAGATTAACAGAAAAATCAGCTCCTAAAATTACTCTGGGATCCAAATGGTCCCCAGAAGATGCATATGGTTTCCCCAACTAAGGAAGCACCTAAAATAGAATCTTCCTGAAAACTAGCCTGTGATCAACATCCTCTGAAGCTGCCATTATTTACTAGGAAGACACCCAGTGAGTTCAACCGGTAAAGCAATCCGTGCCTCTAGTGTCTTGAGGCTACCTCTGTGCCACCATCACTCCCACTCTCAAATGCCAGGCTTCTCACTCTCTAAGCTCCAGTGGAAGCAGAAATGCAGCTAAGTAAGGAAGTTCTTACACATGGCAGGGACAAGAGACTGCCTGCAAATCAACAAGTAGCAAAGCACCCTTTTCTGGGCCCGGTGCAAAACCGTAGTGGTTAAAGTCCTGGCCTTGAACGTGCAGGGATCCCATATGTGCTCCGGTTCTAATCCTGGCAACTCTCCTTCCCATCCAGCTCGTCGAGGTCGGCCCAAAGCTTTGGAATCCTGCTCACATATAGGAGATCTCGAAGAAGTCCCTAGCTCCTGGCTTCAGATCAGCGCAGCTCTACCTGTTGGGGCTGCCTGGGGTGTGAATCAACAGATAAAAGACCTTCCTCTCTGTCTCTCCTCTCTATATGATCTTACTTTCCAATAAAAATGAAATAAATCTTAAAAGAAAAAATGTGATTTCACTTGCTTTTTCCTCAATTTAATCATCTTTCAGACTTAAGCTTGCCAATTATTGAGACAAACAACCAAAACAGTTCATATCAATCAGCTGAAGCCCCTTTCTGCTTAGCCTCCCTTGGAACAGGCTTTGGCTCAGTGAAGAAATCATCAACTCTGATGCACAACGGGTGGCCCTGGACTGCGGCGTGGCAGCACTTCCCGGGGGACTCACCTCTCTGAGCAACAGGATGAAGGAGGCGAAGTAGAACACGTACACCATCCCCACAAGCCAATGCAGGAACATGGTGGTCCCCGGGGCCGACTGGAAGCTCAGTTCTCGATCTTTCAAAGTAGCATCAAACATTTCCTGAGCCAGGACACAGCAGGTGAGAGAGCTGCACCTCTCCAGGTGTCAGGGTAACATGTCCACCCTCCAACCAGAAAGTGAAGAAAACCACTACCTATACGCAATACCATGTGCTAGAGCGGCAGGTCTTTCCATGCCTTTCAGTGTCCCAGAACTAGATGGAAGATCTGCAATCACTTCAAAGATAACTCCTTAAAACTTTCTAAAGATCTTAAACCAATGGTAAGTAAGAACTTTGTTAATACTACTATATTAGAAATGGTTTATTTAATCTTTTTTCCTTGGTTCAAACCTGCACATTCTAAGAGTAAAGAACCTCAGAATCTAAGTCAGTTTTTCTATATATGCATTGTTTCTGAAAAATCAAAAACTGCTTACCAATGAAAGTCATTTACCAGAGTAATGAGGACTGTACATTTTAAATGGTGTTGAATTCATTACTACAAAGACAGTCTCTCTTATCAAACTATACTTTTTATTAAATAATGTCAACATTATCATAAAATTTAAAAGGGTAAAAGGGCACTTTGGTTACTAAAAAGGTTGCATTCAAAATATTCTGATACCAAAAACTGAGGTACTGAAGAGAAAGCAAAAATGTACAGGGGCTGGGCACATGGCATAACGCGTGAAGCTGCACCCTGCAATGCTGGCATCCCTTAGGGTGCTGGTTCAAGTCCCTGCTGCTTCACTTGAGGTACAGTTCCCTGGAAAAGCAAAAGAAGCTGGCTCAAGTACTTGGGTCCCTGCACCCATGTCGGACACCTGAAAGCCACTCCAGGCTCCTGGCGTCGCCTGCCCCAACCCTGGCCATTGCAGTCACTTGGCGAATGCACCAGCAGATCAAAGATCTCTCTCTCTCTTCTGTCTTGTAACTCTGCCTTTTAAATGCATAAATTAAAAAAAAAAAGGCAAAAATAAGCCAAAAAGGTCAAATTTTACTTTAATAAATTAAAATTCAACAAATTATCAAACTAAAATAATAAAATTGATTTAATAATAATAATAAAACAAAAAATTATCAAATGTTTTGTTTTGAGAATATAAGACAATGAATACTCACCAAGGAACAGATATCTAGCCACCAGCCACAAATCAGAGGGAACACTCCAATTTCAACTACTACCAACAGAGAGACCTAAAGTAAAAATAAAGGTCATTAGTATCCCCCAAATGTAGGAAAACTCATTTCCAATTTTAACTTGCAAATGGATTACCTTAACAACAATATAGCAGACTCCCAGTAAGCGACGGGATCTGTGAAATTTGACGAGAGTTGCCAGGCCCTATAACATCTAGTCAAGGAAAAACTCGGCACTTGAAGGCAAACGGAACAGGTAATTATTTCAGTAACACTTGATATTTTTTGACAGAATTTCTTTCTCATTTTGTACTTACTTAAACACCTACAACTCTTAACTAAGAGAACACTATCATTAACGAGAACTTACTGATAGGAATATCATTATTAAATATTTAATTGGTCCATTAAAGGATACATGACAAATGATCAGTGTTATTGCTAAAAGTATATACCCAACTATGGTTGTAATAAGGCCTTCAAAATGAGATGCTTGAACCTAAAATTAAATTAAAAAAAATAAAATCAGTTTTACCACATGACATACACTCCAATTTACCTGTATCAAACAGTCCCAAATGACTGGAAGTCATTTCTAACCAGAAAAAGGCAAGCACAAAATGTCCTTTGGCTGATATCTCTGCACACCAGATGCTCCCCACACAGAAACTACTATATTTCACTAAAGAACAGCAACAAGGAAAAAAAATTTAAATAATCAGTTTGTTCAAGGAGACAAAACAGTAGATTGAAGTAAATTTTTATAAAACTAAAAATGCTAATACAACACTCTGCCCTAATTTCACTCGAAACTAGCCAGCAGCCACCCAGCTCTGTGGAAAACAGCAAGTTTCCCTTGCTACCCGACTGTTCCCGTTGGTGAATACAGCAAGTTAAGACCACTCATCTTCATCTTTTCCTGGTTCCCAAGGCTCAGACACCAAATGCAACATTTTAGAAACCCAAAATTAACCAAAGCATTTATCTGAACCTTTCATGTCCTCAGAACTGGGATGCTTCAGAATGGCATCCCTGGACTCCTGCAATCACGCTGAACAGAAGCTGGCCTCGTTGCTCTGAAGGCCTCCACTGGGTCCAGCTGCACTCCCAATCCCAGGTCCCTGCTAAAACCCAGCCTGGAAGCTAGCAGGTGAAGACGGCCAGCACGGCTGCAGACACCGCAGGGAGATGCGTACTGAGTTCTGACCCTGTGGACAGTCTCTCTCTCTCAAATACATTTTTTTTAATTTATTTTTTTTATTGGAAAGGCGGATATACAGAGAGGAGAGTCAGAGAGGAAGATCTTCCGTCCGATGATTCACTCCCCAAGTGAGTGCAACGGCCGATACTATGCTGATCCAAAGCCAGGAGCCTCTTCCGGGTCTCCCACGTGGGTGCAGGGTCCCAAAGCCTTGGGCTGCCCTCGACTGCTTTCCCGGGCCACAGGCAGGGAGCTGGTTGGGAAGCGGGGCCGCTGGGATTAGAACCGGCGCCCATATGGGATCCCGGGTGTGCAAGGCGAGGACCTTAACCACTTGCGCCACCGTGCCGGGCCCTCTCTCAAATACATTTTAAAAATCAAGACTAAATCTTTCTAGAGGGCTCAATAAAACGGTAATCACATCCATTCATTTACTTGACTTTTGAAAATTATAGAATGTCAAAACAAAAGCAAATTCTTTAGGAAACACTTTAGCCCACTCATCTAAGATGGTCTATTTTCCTTTTAAATTGATTTCCTGCTACTTTTCTATGCTCACTATGGAGCTCCCTGGGGGAAAGGAAAAGAAGGAACACATAAATGTACGAAGTACACTCTCAGAGTGTGCCCATGGCCCCACCCAGTAGGAAGGCATGCAAAGATGGGATTTCAGGGCTGGAGCAAGGGCTTGACAGGCTAATCCTACACCAGCAAGCGCCAGCATCGCATATGGGTGCTGGTACTCCATTTTAATCCAGCTCTCTCCTTACAGTCTGCAAAAGCAGCAAATGATCTGGGTCCTTGGTATCTTGCACCCACATGGGGGCACCCAGAAGAAGCCCCAGGCTCCCAGCTTTGGATCAGCTCAGCTCTAGCCACTGCTACCATTTAGGGAGCGACTCAGAGATAAAAGACCTCTGTATCTCCTTCTTGTAAAATCTCTCAAATAAAAATAAATCTTAAAAAAAAATTATGGGAATTCATGGCACATATTCATTGGAAATGAATATAGCAACATTACCTACTATCTCCTAAGCCACTATTATTTAAAAAAGCAAGATCCTGCAGACTATTTTTTGCATATGGTAATGAAGCAAGTCTATTGTTACTCAGCAAACATGAGACTGAGAGCGACTAAGGAAGTAAGTGGGCAGAAGTGCGATACTCACATGCTCTTCAAACCCCAAGCCAACAAGGGAGAAATGGCCAATGTGGTAAGGGCAAAATGCTACAAAGGGAGGAAAAAATGAAAATTTTAACATCAAAACAGTGAGCACTTTTGGTACATCACCAACGATACGAACCAGTATTTCCTAGACAAATGCAAGATTTTAAAACTGAGACAAAAATGCACCATCTTGGGGGGCTGACACTACAGTGGAAGATATTAATCACTGCTATTTAAACTGCCTTCCTTTCATTTCTAGTCCAACTTCCCACTTGGGAGAGCTGCAGCAGATGGCGCATGTGGCCTCTGCCGGTCACCATCGTCAACTTCCTGACCCCGCTTTGGCCTTGATGCAAGGTGGGGAGTGAACCAACAAACAGGAAATAAATCCATTTATGTCTATCTGTCTCTGCCTTTCAAATAAATGAGGAGACTGTATTAGAAACAAATGTACTCAGACGGAATTTGGTGTATAAAGATGCAGAGTTCTTATCTGTAATTCATGTGTTAAGATTTGTTCCTCCAAAGGCTAACTGGGCACCAACTTTTTCTGCAAGAGCAAACACTAAATCTCAAAGAAACCTGAGTTAACACAGCCGCATGGTCCAAACCAGCACAAAGACACAGGTGTCCACTCCATGTGCAACAGTAAATCACAACGAATCAGCTTCCTGTTAATATTCAATAGCCTAAATATCCACTAAACATTGAAAGTGACGGAATGTTTTAGGCTTGGGAAATCTCTTTGCTGTTTTATAGTCAAAAATATATTTTCTTCTTTGTCATCCATGTGATTTAGATCACACGGCTTCCTGTTAAAGACAACCGGCTTCCCGGGTATTATACAGTTCCAACAAAAAAACAAAGCACTTGGAACCTGGTGAATAAGCCCTGGAAGCAGGCATCCTTCCTCCTCAGCAGACATGAGGGTAATTCACATGCACTCTTGGACAGGCCATGAGGTCTCAGACACAATCCCATCACACCTAACAACTCCCGTTTCTCTTAGGAACCACACATCCCTTCCACTGAGAGAAGCAGGAATCAAATACATCTAATGGAGTTTTCATGATCTCTCCCAAAGCAGAAAAACTTGTCAACTTGTACCTTTCAACCCTACACTAATTACTATCCTTTCTCTGTAATTACTACGGACAAGACATACTCATGTTGTCACAGAATTCTCACAGTGTTTACAAGCGTGTGCTAGAACCTGCTTCTAGGGGAACTGGAGCAAAGCGCACTGTCCTCCCACAAGCCTATATCCACCTCTGGTGAAGCCCCAAATCAGGGTTCCTGTCAGGCCTTGATTCTGACAGATGGAAACAAGGCCATCTGCCACAGGAAAGTCTGTAATCAGCACAAACTCCATCCCAAGGGTGCGACACTGCACTCTCTCAGGTCAGTCTAGACTTAGCTGCTGCAGCAGGAGACAGGAACTGCACAACCCAGGCAGACGCGTGGGCCAGCACAATCTGTGTGCTCAGAAACACACATGCGTCCCCGGGGCCTCCGAGACACAATTCCCATCCAAAGTTATCTGTAACGCATTCCTCAATAGTCCTACGCTAACATGAAAGAGCAGCCCATAACAAGGCTCCTACAAACTGAACTGCAACCACTATGCCCTAAGGAATAACAGCAAAAACACAACTTACCAAAAACAAGAATGAACAGTGTATTCAAAGACACCACCCAGAAGACATGTTCCTAAGGGAAAATAGCTTTATTAAAACATTCAAGTTACAACTGGCAATTTTTCAGTGGGACTATTCCACTTATCTAGCCACAGCTAAATACTGAAAATAGCTAAGACTGAAATTTTCTTTCCACAGTTTCAAAATATCAACTTAGAAATTATATAACTTTTCACTGAATTTCCCAAAATAATACTTAATTAACCTTCACAAGTGCATGTCTCACATAGAGAAATCTACACATTTATAAATTTTTACATTTTAAAAAATTTTATACATCAATTTATACATTTCCTTTCTAGGCATTATTATATATGTAACCAACTGCAAGAAGTAGTACAGAAGAGTTCATTTAAACCAAACACTACTGAAAAATTTCAAATTCACATTAATTCCACAAAATGTGCTGAAGTTACACAGTGTTTGTTTCACTCACTGTTCAATTCGTCTCACCAAGGTTTGCGCTTGGCTATCACCCTTTGGAAAACTCCGGTTTGATCTGCAGCTTCCTCTGACTCTGACTCTCCTCGGGGATGGGGCCTCTCCCAGCACAGCATCCGGCTGGGCTCTCAGCTCCACCTGTGCCAGAGCTACGCACCCCCAGTGTGGCAGGCAACGCTCAGCTACTTGGGTCCCTGCCACCTAGGTTTCTGCCATTAGGCTGGCCCAAGCCCAGCTATCTGTGGGCATCTGGGGAATGAACCAGCAGAGAGGAGATATCTGTATCTTTTCTTTTGCCTTTCAAGTAAAAGAATAAGCACATTCTCATTTGGATCCCTGTTTCATCTCCCAAATGACATAGTTTCACCCATGTTCTCCCTCCATCTCTCTCACCACAGGCACTACATGCACACTGCACACCCTGCAGCTCCATCACACACACCACAGGCACCCTGCACCCCCTGCAGCTCCATCACACACACCACAGGCACACTGCACCCTGCACACCCTGCAGCTCCATCACACACACCACAGGCACACTGCACCCTGCACACCCTGCAGCTCCATCACACACACCACAGGCACACTGCACCCTGCACACCCTGCAGCTCCATCACACACACCACAGGCACACTGCACCCTACAGCTCCATCACACTCAGCACAGGCACACTGCACCCTGCACACCCTGCAGCTCCATCACACACACCACAGGCACACTGCACCCTGCACACCCTGCAGCTCCATCACACACACCACAGGCACACTGCACCCTGCACACCCTGCAGCTCCATCACACACACCACAGGCACACTGCACCCTGCACACCCTGCAGCTCCATCACACACACCACAGGCACACTGCACCCTACAGCTCCATCACACTCAGCACAGGCACACTGCACCCTGCACACCCTGCAGCTCCATCACACACACCACAGGCACACTGCACCCTGCACACCCTGCAGCTCCATCACACACACCACAGGCACACTGCACCCTGCACACCCTGCAGCTCCATCACACTCAGCACAGGCACACTGCACCCTGCAGCTCCATCACACACACCACAGGCACACTGCACCCTACAGCTCCATCACACTCACCACACACACCCTGCAGCTCCATCACACTCACCACAGGCACACTGCACTCTACACATGCACTAGACTGTCCAAGACATGCACCTGGACCTACTACCACAGTGCGGTTAGCAATTTTTTCAGCTTCTCTGCCTTAAGGGTTTCCAAACTCACCCTTATTCTCAACAGCTTATTTGCTTCAAACCTCTGATAATTTCTCTTCAACACAAAAAGAAACCTCGCCAAGCCCACTTTGGTTCAGAGCACACGTGTTCTCACTGCATGTTTAACACATACCTCTGAAGTTCAAAGCATCTGTGAGAACAGGAACCTGTTTCATTCGCCTCTTAATCCTCAGATAACTATCACAACAGCTGGCACATGCTACATACTAATATTTTTCACTGAAGCAATGAAGTCATCCAGCAGTTTTGTCAATAATTAAAATGGTTTTGGATCAACACTACTACTTCAGTAATGACTTTTGTTATTCACTTATGAGAAACCAATGAGACAAATATAAATGTATTTGTGAACAAATAATACCGTCTATACTGCAAACAAACCTTCACCAGAAATTCATTAAATCACATTCCCACATTCTTGGGCCTGGTGCAGTAACCCAGTGACTAGTCCTTGCCTTTCACTTGTCAGGATCGCATATGGGCGCCGGTTCTAATCCCGGCAACTCAGCTTCCCATCAGCTCCCTGCTTGTGGCCTGAGAAAACAGTCAAGCATGGTCCAAGCCTTTGGAACCTTGCACCCGCATTGGCAATCCGGAAGAAGCTCCTGGCTCCTGGCTTTGGATCGGCTCAGCTCCAGCTGTTACGACCACTTGGGGAGCAAACCAGCAGATAAAGATCTTTCTGTCTCTCCTTCTCTCTGTAAATCTGACTTTCCAACAAAAATAATAAACAGAGCTTTAAAAAAAGAAGAAATAAAAATTCTTGGACCAACACAATGGCTAAACTAGCTAATCTAATGACTGCAAGTGCCGGCACTCAATATAGACACCAGATCGTGTCCCAGCTACTCCACTTCCCATCCAGCTCCCTGCTGATGGTTCAGGAAAGCAGTGAAGAATGACCCAAGCTTTGGGCCCCTGCATCCAACTGAAGACCAGAAAAAAGTTCCTGCTCCCTGCGTCAGATCAGTCCAACTCTGGCCACTGCGACCATCTGGAGAGTAAACCAACAAATCAAAGATCTTTCTGTCTGTTCCTCACACTCTTCCTCTGTAACTCTTTGAAATAAAATAAATAGTTTTCTAAAAGGAAGATAAACTCCAAGGACCAGCATTGTGGGGCGGAGCTAAGCTGCAGCCTGCAAACTGACATAAAATACAGGCACTGTCTACCATACCTGTGATCTGGAAGAGGGTCCAAGCGCACCCATAGCGAAGACCCACTGAAGCCCCTGGCTCCTGGCTGTGGCCTGGCCCAGCCCTAGCTGTTGCTGCCATTTGGGAAGTACACCTGAAGATGGAAGGTTTATCAATCCCTCTCTCTGCTCTCTCTGTTTAACTCCAACTTAAATAAGTAAATAAATCTTTAGCAAGCAATTTTATATTACACAACCTGAACACATTTCTTTTACAGAAAAAGTCCTTTAAAGAATTGCTCCTCTGCAGGCTCAATGCAGTAGTCTAGTACCTAAAGTTCATACCAGAATCCCATACAGGTACCGCTTGGTGTCCAGGCTGCTCCACTTCCCTCCCAGCTCCCTATCTGTGGCCTTTGCAAGCAGCTGAGGACAGCAGAAAGCCTTGAGACCCTGCACCTGTGTGGGAGACCTGGAAGAGCTCCTGGCTTCGGACTGGCTCAGCTCCAGCTGTTGCAACCACTTGGGAAATAGAAAATCTTTCTGTCTCTCCTCTTCTCTGTGAATCTGGCTTTGAAATATAAAAAAGTAAATCTTTTTTAAAAAGCAAAGGATTGCATTTCCTGTGCGGGTGATGATGTTTTCTAACCAAGAACTGTGGGGTAAAGAGGAGTCAGATCAGCTTCCAGATCAGCCTGGGCTCTCAGGGGTCAAACACGAGCAAGCTGTTTGCTTGCAGCAGCACAGGAGGTGTGAGCACTGCGAGAATGAGCCTGGACTAGCCCTGGCCATCAGGGCACAAGCCAGTGGGTGGAGACGTACACTTGCACTCTCCCTTGTCTGGGGCATTCTACTGGTAAAATAACTAACCTTCAAAAAATTACTAGTTTTACTTACCAGAAAAACTAGTGACCCATCGAGTCCTAGCATCTAGAATAAACAAGTGATACACATTAATTCAAGATGCAACAATATTTTCTGCACCACATATCAAAAAGGCTCGTTTCCTTTCAATATATTTAAACAAAGTCTTCACCCAATACTTTCCAATACTGCCTATTATTTCCAAAGAGTCAAATATTTGCGGTTTCTGCCTCTTAAAAAAAAAAGGAAAAGGATCAAGAATTACCACAGCAGTGGAGATGCTGGAACCATACATCAGCCTCCCATCTAGGTTCAATACCCAGATCTGACCACTGACTCCAGCTTTCCTGGGAAGGAGTTCCCTGGGAGGCATCGGTGTCCGTCCAAGTCCGTGGGCTCCTGCTATCCTGTTGGGAGGTCAGTCCCAGCCCCTGGTTTCAGCCCTGGACTAGTCCCTGGGTATCTGTGATGTGAACCAGCACATGGAAAATACCTATTTCTTTCTCTCAATAAATGAAAACTTCCTTTAAAAAATGTTTACGGGGCTAGCACCTACTTCCAAATATGGTCTTGGCATCCTGTATGGGGACTAGTTCAAGTCCCAGGTTGCTTCACTTCCCATGCAGCTCTCTGCTTACAGCCTGGGAAAGCAGCAGAGCACGGCTCAGCCCTTGGGCACGTGCATCCACATGGGAGACCTGGAAGAAGCTCCTGGCTCGTGGTTTTCAGATCAGCTCAGCTTCAGTCACTATGGCCACTGGGGAGTGAACGTGTAGTGGTTTTTCGTCTTTTCTCTCTCATTCTCTCTCTCCCCCTTTTCCGATCTCCCTCTCTCCTACCTGATGTGTTAACTCTTTCAAGTAAAAACAAAATAAGTCTTTAAAAACCTTTCTGAAAATTTTTCTATTTTGGCTTTCCTTTAATGCAAAACAATTTAATTCCAAATCTATAATTATAAAACAAAGGATTTTTTCTTGAGCTGAATTTTTACATTAGGTAACAGGCAGTCAAGATGTCATGAGAGAACTAAAGTGTAAAAATACTACTTAAGGGCCCAACACATTAGCCTAGTGGCTAAATCCTCACCTTGCATGCCTGGGATGCTATATGGGTACCAGTTCATACCCCAGCTGTTCTACTTCCCATTCAGCTCCCTGCTTCTGGCCTGGGAAAGCAGTAGAGGACTGCCCAAAGCCTTGGGATCCTGTACCCACATGGGAGATCTGGAAGAGGCTCCTGGCTTCAGGAAAAAAAAAAAAAAAAAAAGATGGCCCAAACACATGGGCCCATCCCACCCAAAAATGCTACTTAAAGTTTTACTCATTCCTTCAATAGCCCACAATGTCAAGTGAAATATTCCCTACATGGGGCAAAGTTTATACTAAAAGCCAGAGACAGGAAATGCCATCAGCATCACAATATTTTCACTACAAATAGCATATAACTTAATTTTCTCTAGAAATAGAAATCCTGCCTCGCGAAGGAAGTTCTCTCACAGAGGATGACCGCCACTCACTCTTTCCCACGTGAGTTCTTCCGCAGCACGATCCCACTCTAAAGCATTCCAGTTCATGTCATCTGGAAACACAAGTGCAGGTCAAAATTTACCGAGGGAACTCCAGCCACACATCATAAAAGCCATCCTTTGTAATTATATATTCTTATACTGTTCTTGTGACTCTACACCATTTGAATAATTTTTTTTCAAATTGGATTTGTTAGGTAACAAAAATTGAATAACAAGGATATAAAAAAAGGTCATCCAATATTACGTTAAGTAGGAAATAAACAGGGACATATGAAACAGAAGAATTCAACAGCTTGCTGAGTAAGAAATGAATTTGGTGGATTTGAAAAAAGGAGGGAAGGGCCCAGAACGATAGAGTAGTGGCTAAAGTCCTCGCCTTGCACACACCAGGATCCCATATGGATACTGGTTCTAATCCTGGCGGCCCAGCTTCCCTTCCAACTCCCTGCTTGTGGCCCGGGAAAGCAGTTGAGGATGGCCCAAGGCCTTGGGACCCTGCACCCGCGTGGGAGACCCGGAAGAGCTCCTGGTGCCTGGCTTCGGACCAGCTCAGCTCCAGCCGTTGTAGCCACTTGGGGAGTGAACCATCGGACTGAAGATCTTCCTCTCTGTCTCTCTTCCTCTGTGTATATCTGCCTTTCCAATAGATAAGTAAATCTTAGAAAAAAAAAAAAAAAAGAAAAAAGGAGGGAAGCCAGAGAACAGGAGTAACAAGGAGGGTGGTAGAAGACAAAGCATGAAGTGTAGTCGGGGACCAGCTTCTCCCAGAGCACGCGTTTCCTTTAGGAAAGCACTGCAAGACTCGCAAGCAGCCCTGGGCAGAGGCATTCCAGCACGGAGCCGCAGCCCCGGCCAGAGAGAGGACGCCGGCCTCTCAGTAGCAGCAGGCTGTGCTCTCCAGCTCTGCCTCCCCTGCAAAGATTCCCTGCCCCATTACACCTCGATGCCCTTCCATCAAGGCCTGCTTCTCAAACACTTCTGAGGACACACCACGTAAAATTGGTGTCTCCCCGTGCACCTTGCAATACACTTAGCACAACGTACATTTCCTATTTCTTCCCTAAATCACAAGATCCGTGATTCTGCTCATAAACACCACAGAGATTCAAATATGCACAGTGCTGAGTAAACCCAGAGACAGGGCAGGACGTCAACAGACGATGCTGTGGCAGGAGGGGGGAAGCCGAGGCAGTGAGCTACTGAGGGCAGGCTGCAGACTGTCTTGAACCAGACTTCACACCACAGAGTTTACACTGCAAACCTGAAAAGCTGGATGGGCATTACTTGGCCTGCAGTAGCGCACTTGGAGAAGCCCTTTTCCAATTTGAAAGGTTGGACTAACACAATATACACGGACAGAGAGAAGCAAACAAGGAAGGACGATGTGAATAAAACTCATTTTTTTTTTTTTAAAGATTTATTTTTATTATTTTTTTTTTATTGGAAAGGCGGATATACAGAGAAGAGAGACAGAGAGGAAGATCTTCCGTCCGATGATTCACTCCCCAAGTGAGCGCAACGGGCCGATACTATGCCAATCCGAAGCCAGGAGCCTCTTCCGGGTCTCCCACGTGGGTGCAGGTTCCCAAAGCGTTGGGCCGTCCTCGACTGCTTTCCCAGGCCACAGGCAGGGAGCTGGAAGGGAAGCGGGGCTGCCGGGATTAGAACCGGCGCCCATATGGGATCCCGGGCGTGCAAGGCGAGGACTTAACCACTTGCGCCACCGCGCCGGGCCCAATAAAACTCATTTTTAAAAAGTAGGCTTTATTCCAACTTTAATATTAAGTCAGCTGCACCAATTTCAATGCAGCTTCCTGTTAATGGTCTGGGAAAAACAGCCGAATATGGTCCAATGCTTGGTTCCTACACCCAGATCAGAGACCTGGAAGAAGGTTTTGGCTTCTGGTTTCTGACCATTTGAGGAGTGACCAGTGGATGGAAGCTGTCATTGGTGTTCTCGCCGCTCCCGCCCCCACCCCCTTCTTCTAACTATGCCTTTAGAAAAAAATCTTTAGGCTGGTACAATGGCTCAGGTGGCTAATCCTCCTCTAGCAAATGCTGGGCTTCCCATATGGTCGCTGGTTCATGTCCAGGCTGCTCCACTTCCCAACCAGCTCCCTGCTTGTGGCCTGGGAAAGTGGTAGAGGACGGCCCAAGCCTTGGGACCCTGCACCCACATGAGAGACCCAGAAGAAGCTCCTGGCTTCAAATCAGCTCAGCTCTGGCCATTCCGGGGAGTGAATCAACAGATGCGAGATCCTTCTCTCTGTCTCTGCTTCTTAAATCTGCCTTTCCAATAAAAGTTAATCTTTAAAGAAAATCTTTCCCAAAAAGTCCCAAATAAAAGTAGGATTTTAAAGCACAAAATAGGGGCAGCATGGTGGTATAGCATCTTAATCTTCAGTCTGAGGCACCCTCATCCCATATGAACACCAGTTCATGCCCTGGCTGCTCCCCTTACAATCCTGCTCCCCTTAATGGCCAGGGAAAGCAGCGGAGAAAGGCCCAAGTCCTTGAGCCCTCACACCCACACGGGAGGTCTGGAAGCAGCTCCTGCCTACCAGCTTCAGACCAGCCCAGCTCTGGCCCTGGCAGCCATTTAAGCAATGGACCAGTGGAACAAAGATCTGTTTCTCCCTCCCTCTCTCTCTGTAATCTTTTCCATCAAAATAAATGTTTTAAAAAATAAATAAAGTAGCGTGTCTCATGTTGGGGATTTGGGATGGGTGGGAGGCTGGGTGGAGCTTTCCCCTTTGTTTCCCCCCTGACCCCAGATACAGGGAAAAATGATAATATTAGTGTGGAAACAATGGTATTACCCACTTTCACCCTGTAGCCCTTGACCCTTTGTACTCTGATCAACTAAGTAAGATTATTAAAAAATAATTCAGACAAAACAACCACAAAAAAAGCAAAAATGTGTGTCCACACAGAAAAAGCCCATGTATACATAAAACCATAAAAGTCAATTGCACAAAATAAGAGTAAAACGAGGCTAGAAACAGACCTTGAAAACATAAGTATTTAAACATTTTAGTCCTTCCCTCCTCTATGTAAGCTGAGAATGGATTCAGTCCAGAAGAGTGTGGGCGTGCACACAGTAGTTACCCTGGGCTCCGTTGTTGGCGTCCGCCACATCCTCCACGCCTGCGTCCTCTTCCTCCTCGTTGTCCTCCTCCTCCTCCTCGGCCTGAGGCTCCTGTACCTCAGGGTTCTCGCCCACCACGGCGTTCTCAGCCGGGGGGTCAGCAGGCTGCTCGGCAGCAGCGTTCTCTGCACCATTCCCTCCCGCCGGAGCCTGAGGACAAGAAAGCTCAGAAAGTCAGCCAATTCAGTTCTGCTCTACATCCAAACTGCACTCCGCTAAAACACACAAACACTGCTAAATTCAAAACTCAGTTTCTTTCAAAGTCATCTTTTCTAAGATCCTCTGATTTTAGATCAACTTGGCATATGAAAGCATAAACTCACTCCATAGTACAAAAATTCATTCAGCATCAATTACAAATGATGATTTCACAAAGCATTATAAGATGTACAGATCTGGCTACTTTGCATACGTTACTTGATAATCCTTTTTTATTTTATATTTGAGAGGAAGAAACAGAAAGAAATAGAATTCTTATTTACTGGTCATCCCGAAACACTTTGGCCAAAGTCTGGGAGCTGAGAACTCAGAATCCTGAGTTCCCACATGAAACCCAGTGACCGGAGCCGTCCCCACTGCCTCCTAGGATCTGCAGCAGCACGGAGACGGAATCACATCACAGATACCCAGGGACCAGTCCAGGGCTGAAACCAGGGGCTGGGACTGACCTCCCAGCAGGATAGCAGGAGCCCACGGACTTGGACGGACACCGATGCCTCCCAGGGAACTCCTTCCCAGGAAAGCTGGAGTCAGTGGTCAGATCTGGGTGTTGAACCTAGATGGGAGGCTGATGTATGGTTCCAGCATCTCCACTGCTGTGGTACATGCCTGGCACAGTCACTTCTTTTGATCCCAACATGGACTGGCTTGTGAAGGAAACCTCTTACAGCTCCTAGGAGACTGCTGACCGCTACTCGATATGGGTGATGGGCGAGTGTGACCTAACAGCTGCTGCTTCGTAGGTAAGGCTCTGTACCCAGGCAGGACCCGTTCCCAACAAGGCATCCCCTCCTTTGAGCTCTTCTCAAGTTCTGCCATCTGCCACATGCCAAACCATCACTGCATTCAAGTGACAGTAACAGTTCAGTGGAAGCAACTCTGATGTTGTGAATGATGATTCTAAAGGAAAAGTTGTATTAAAGTTTCTAAATATGAAGTGCAAGGACAAAAGTACAAATTCTACAAGTCCACCGTCAGTGTATGGGTTTCAAGTAAAATATGTATTCTGTAGAAAAAAAAGAATTGTTAACTACTGTTAAGTATTTCACGCTAGCATTTTTCACAGGGAGATTCTGTAAAGTGTATACTGCTTTCATATCCAGAGAGCAAATCTGTGGCTTTGTGGTCTCAGGATATTTCAGTAAGGTAACAAAAATCAATGTATATTCTTCTCTTCTTGACAACTCTAGCAAGCAGCATCTAACACAACACCACTCATAAAATACAAAAGAAATCTACCAGATTCTTACCAACACTGTTCCTCCTGTCAGGGCAGGTGTGGCATTTTACACAAGGGAAGCTCATCCACAGAGATGGAGCAGCTGCCTTAGTGTAACATGCACTCTCAGGAGCATGCCAGCGAAGCTCCTTCCTGACCGGAGGCTCGAGCTAACAGTCAAACCAAGGGAACTACAGCACAGAGCATCACAGTACAGTCCCAAAACTGCTCCCAACCGGCTACAAAGCAAGAGTAAAGGCACAATGGCAATCTTTCAATTGTTACATTTTCCCTCATTTTCCATACCTTTTTGCTATCCTTTGCAAGGGTCTGATCGCAGAGTGATCAGATTTTCACATCTAGCACCCATTTTGGAGGTGGGGGATTACCTCATTTTGGTGGTGCGCGGCAGCGTTGAAGGGGGGGGCGGCATGCTCCAGCCAAATTGGGGCTCCTCCGTGGACGATCTGCTCACGCAGCCACACCAAACTGATGAACGCACACAGCGTGCACGTCACCACGAAACAGCCCTGCAAACAATCTGCCAACAAATTTTCCCTATTAAAAAAAAATTACACAAATTACTTCAAGGAACACTTAAAATTAGGAAACCAAAGATAACATTCCTTGTTCATACCAAAATCTCAGGGAAAAAAAGGCCCCCCCAAAATCACAACTTTTAGGGTGAAAATCAGTTTCTCCAAATTATTTGTGATAAATAACCAATACAGTATTTAAATATTTGCATCACAGACACATAAATCTATATAATACCATAAAAAATCAAAATAATATAGAAATTAGCCATCCACAATCTATATTTTGAACATGACTAAGAACAAGGCAGCAAGCTAAAAGGAAAAAGCAATTAATACCTAACACAGGCCAAGGACTTCATGTCTGTGAGTTACTTAAGGTTCACAGCTCAGGTCCAATGCTTACTTTTCTTCATTTTACATTCAACTTTAAAAATATGTTTAATAATACCTAAACTCAAACACATTAGCAAAAATCCCTAATTTCCTCCACAAATAACACTAATGACAAAATAAAGAAATGAAAGCTTGGAGATATTAATATGCTATGCTGTATGACAAAGTCTACATTTCACTGAAATTTTTTAATTGGAAAGCAAATCAAGCTTTGATATTAACTGCAAATACACCATGATTATATTGACCCTTCAGCAACTTTATAGAGTAGTCATATATGTGAAAGCTCAGAAGACTCCCTGTTCTGTCTAAAGAAGCCAATCCTTCCCTAGATCATGTTGGTGATTTCACAATAATTAAATCTTGCTACAGGAAAATCTACTATTGTAACGGAGTGATTTTTCTTCCACAGGAAAGCTGAACAAACGTCAACCAGAAAGATCTCAGCACAGTGGCTCTGAATGCTGAGCGGTCCCTAAGACAACACCATCTGGGAAAAAACCCTCAACCAGAAAGAACCCTAACCACTCCTGCTATCTGCCACACTCACCTTTTTAAAATGCCATCATAACCACCACATAAAGCACCCCTGACTCACTGGGCTCCCAGAGAAGCCATGAAATAACCAAGACAAGTCCCAAAACTCTGCTGAGCACACAAGGAACTAACTCCCAAAGACAGAAGAGAGGTGAAAAATGGTTGTTTTAAGCCATTCGTTTTTCAGACACTTTGTGTTGCAGCAACTGGTAATGACGAATCCGAGAGGACTCAAAGAACTGAGCGTTACAACAACAACAAAGAAAACCACAATCAACAAGCCATAAAAAAATAAAAATCAAACAAAAGAAAATGAATATCACAAAATGTGGCCAAAAAATAAAATTTAAAATATTATGAGACAGCTATATACAGGCTTCAAAATTTTATGCACCAAAATAGTTTTAATTCTGTCTTGTATAGCGGTTATTAAGATACTAAAGAACTTTAAATTTCAAATATTACTCAAAAAACTTTTGTTACAAATGTTTCTAGAAATGCCAGCTCATTTCTTCAAATTATAAAGGTAACATAGGATTATAGAATGAAACAGCCAGGCCTGCCTGCAGCCACCTTCCTTGGTATCAAGCAGCAGTCCAGTTAAGTGAGCCGAAGGACCTGCTACAAGAACTACAGCAAACGGGCTTCAGCAGCTACAGTAATCTCAGGAAACATATGTTAAAAACACACGTTCCAACAAACTAAAATATAAATAACAGACACATATTCAATTATATAACAGCCTGATCAACAAAGTCATTGTACTATTACAAGACAGTCATTTAAAATTAGTGTGTTTCAGGGCCTGGCACAATAGCATAATGGTGAAGGTCCTCGCCTTAAGTGCGCCAGGATCCCACATGGGTGCTGGTTCTAATCCTGGCAGCTCCACTTCCCATCCAGCTCCCTACCTGTGGCCTGGGAAAGCAGTCGAGGATGGCCCAAGGCCGTGTGTGTGTGTGTGTGTGTGTGTGTGTGTGTGTCTTTAAAAAATACAATTAAAATAAAATAAAATCAGTGTGTTTCAAAGAAACATCAGTTACATGTAATCTCAGCTACTTGTACCACAGCTATAACTGCCACATAAGTGGCATGAATTATATGCCCTTAAAACAAAATAATTTTCAGATCATAACAAAAGGAAATACAAGCATATGACAACAGCACTGCACAGCGTTTCCCATCACAGCTTCAATACTCACGTGGACAGCATGTCTAGTGGCAGTGTCAGCAGTGAGCTCACGGAGCCAGTAAACAAGCACTTGTAGATGCGGCCTACCAAAGAGACACAGCTCACATCATAAAATCATAGTTTAACATGGAATTCCATGAATGCCACCAACATAATCGTTTTTAGTTATTATATGACTCAGTTTCAATTTTTTAAAAACATGGGCAAACATAAAGTAACCACTGAAAACAGATATTTTCACAATGCTTACTTCTTAGATTTTTTTTTAATTTTATTGGAAAGACAAATTTACAAAGAAAAGGAGAGACAGAAAGGAAAAGCTTTGCCATTCACTGATTCACTCCCCAAGTGGCCACAATGGGCTGGAGCTGAGCTGAAGACAGGAGCTTCTTCCAGGTCTCCCATGCAGGTACAGGGTCCCAAGCCTGTGGGTCATCCTCGACTGCTTTCCCAGGCCACAAGCAGTGAGTTAGATGGGGAGTGGAGCAGACAGGACACAAACCAGTAACCAAATGGGATACTAGGGCTGGAATATGGAGGATTAGCCGGTTGAGCCACAGTGTCAGCCCCTGTAAGTTTTGTCAAGGTTTACCAGCTTGGTATTAAATGAGCTGAATGTGCGGTCTCCCAGGTAGTACTGTCCCAAATACTTGGGATATCTATCATCTCCTGCTTTCCCAGGCACACTAGGAGGGAGCTAGATTAGAAGCCAAGCAGTTGGACCTGACCCAGAGCTCTGGTTTAAGACGCCGGAGTCACAAGCTGTAGCTTAATTTGCTGCGTCACAACATCAGCCCTGACGCTACTTTTCTATTTCTAGAGCATTTCATAATTCTCCCCCAAAATGAAATTGGCAACAGAAGTTGCTTACAAGGCCTGGCGCAATAGTGTAGTGGTTAAAGTCCTCGCTTTGCACGCACCAGGATCCCACATGTGCACTGGTTCTAATCCTGGCGGCCCTGCTTCCCTTCCAGCTCCCTGCTTGTGGCCTGGGAAAGCAGTTGAGGATGGCCCAAGGCCTTGGGACCCTGCACCCGTGTGGGAGACCTGGAAGAGCTCGTGGCTCCTGGCTTCAGATTGGCTCAGCTCCAGCCGTTGTGGTCACTTGGGGAGTAAATCATCGGACGGAAGATCTTCCTCTCTGTCTCTCCTCTCTGTATATCTGACTTTCCAATAAATAAATAAATCTTAAAAAAAAAACAATAATAAAGTAAAATAAAATAAAGTAAATCTTTAAAAAAAAAAAACAGAAGCTGCATACAGTTGCATCTTCCATGTTAAGATGGTCTGTGAGGCCAGCTAGCACTGTGAGGTAAGCCGCAGCTTCCGGCCAGTAGCCCGTTTAGAGGGCCAGCAGCTCTGCCTCTGCCCAGCCCCCAGCTAATGCGCGGGAGAAGGTAACAGGGGATGCTCCAAGTGTTCCTGTCCTTGCCACCCACACGGAAGCCAGGATCAACTTCCTGGCGTTGCGGCCACTTGGAGAACAAACCAGCAGATGAAGGCCTCTGCTTCCATCACTCGACTTTTCAAATAAACAGATGAACTTTTTTCAAATTCACCTGGAATTTTAGTTTCAGGTTGTTACCTAGAATCTGATTTCTGTAGAGTCAGAATAATTGAGTCAAATATAAAAAAGAAATACCTTTGCTTCTCCTTCTCTGAATCTCTCCTATCTTTACAGCCCCCTCGATGTGTGCGCGCCCATGCACACACGCGCCTGCTTACACTTGGAATTATCTGCTCCTTCTTCTGCATTACACCCGAGGAAACCACTTAGGGTTCAGCCTCTGCGTTCAGTAATTTACTTCTCAACGGTGTCGATTCTATTTGCTCCATCTCTCAAGAGGTTCATCTCCATGATCAATTAAGCTAATTTTAAGAAGACATGAAGATATTAATATTTATTCAAAACTCCAAGAGTATTTTCCTGTATGTGTCTCCTCTGCCAGCAGCAGTCTATGCAGTCCTCTGCGAGAGACCCCCTAAGGGTCGGAGCGCAGGGTCTGGGGGTACGCTCCCCTTCCTCAGCACCAGTATGTCTGTGGGTATCTTTGTAAAAGCAAGAGGGTATTCTCAGAAAAATCCGCAGTCTGGACTCCTTGAAAAACTCTCGTATACTTCAAGGAATACAACCTGAATTTCTGCTAAGCATCATCTGATTTTACTTTTTCAATGCTTCCAAGAACTTTCATTACTTGTCTCTATATACTCTGTTTTTCTTTCCCACATTTAAGAAAGTACCTATTAAAACCTCAGATCAGATGAATATTTTCTAAGTGAAACATGACTAAATATATGACAATATAGCACCAAACTGGACATAATTCAAATAAGAATAATATATCACTACTTCATAATAACAAACGGCAAGGGACCCGGTACCATGGCCTAGCGGCTAAAGTCCTCGCCTTGAACGCTCCGGGATCCCATATGGGCACCGGCTCTAATCCGGGCATCCCAGCTTCCCATCCAGCTCCCTGCTTGTGACCTGGGAAAGCAGTCGAGGACAGCCCAAGGCCCTGGGTTCCTGCACCCGCAAGGGAGACCCAGAGAAAGTTCCTGGCTCCTGGCTTCAGGCAGGCGCAGCACCGGCCATTGTGGTCACTTGGGGAGTGAATCACCAGATGGAAGATCTTCCTCTCTGTCTCTCCTCCTCTCTATATATATCTGACTTTGCAATAAAAAAAAAATATTTATTTTTAAAAAATAAACGGCTAAACAGTATCTAAATCATCCCAATCAGATGCCCGATACTCACATGCTGTAAGAGGAACCACTCCCAACCACGCGAAGGCCACAAGTGTATAATGAAACCAGTATCGGATTGCAGTGCCAATGCTGGTAACCAGTCCTGCAAATATGTCTTGGATTGGAAGCCGGGAAGGCATATCTGGAGAATAAACTATAAAGGAAAAAAAGGGGGGCATATAATCTCATTAATCTTTTAAAATGGCATAATAAAATACACATGTAAAACTATATTAACTTTCCAAATCTGTATTATTCTTAAAATTTTCTCATATTAAAAATGTGAATCAAATACTTACAGTCATATCCCATTTACCCAAGAAAAATCATTTATAAAGCAAATAACACGGAAGATGCAGCAATCAACAAAAAAGAGCTTCAGGCAGGAAGAAAGATTGAGTAGAAGCTCCTAGCCCTCATTCAGTCCTGACTCACACAACGCTAACCGCACGTGTTAGCATTTAAATAGCATACTTATTTAGTTTTCCACACTATAAAAAATCAGATGATGCAAACAAGAGCAGAGGGAGGAATTATAAAGAACTTCTTACATTATAAGCATGAGACCAAGCATTCAAACAGCAGAGTCATTTCACATGAGAGCAAATGAAGCACCCACACCGTCCCATGTTCACACACACTGCTGAGTCTCCCATGACAACGTCAGGCCTCCCCAGGTCCCCTGCAACACACTCAACATGCTCACAGAACAATCTGGTCATGCCTTACAAAGACTTTTTTTTTAAAGATACTTTCAATAAAAACCATGGCTTATGTTCTCTGTAACAGGTAACTGAGAAAGAAACTCTAAGATAAACAATTCTTTCTCCAGAGACCTAGGCAAAAGCTCTCACACATAAATATTTTAAAAATCAAAGTTCAAGAAACTTTAAAAGCACTGCCATAAACTAACATCCACATACAGGGAGCAATTAGCAAGAGGTATCTTTTGACAGCTTAACTACATAGACCACTGACTTCAACAGAATATTTGCTATACAAGAGCAAGTCATTAACCATTAATAACTGTTCCTAAGGAAACAGCATACGATTGCAATTAAAACTAAAATGTACAAAACATGCTTTAATTGGAGTCAAAGTGAAAACCCACATAAGTATCTCAAGCTTCATGAAGACATGCACCTGGTCTTAATTGGCTATACACCTTAATAACTCACAGTACTTTTACCCACTACTGAAAAGGAAATACTACAAAGTAATACAACTGTAATTTTTTATGCTGTTAATATAAAGCACCAAAAGTAACGTCATATCTTTAACCAATTACAATTATCACATAAAAACAAAGTAAAGCCATCACTAATTTATGACATTCATACTGAGCAGCTATGTTGTTTTTGTTTTGTTTTTTAAAGCCAATCAATTCAGGAACCAAATTTGTGACAGGGAAGAATCCCAAAATGAGCAATACCTCAAACTGCTAATAACATGCCATTACAATCCTATAATTTGGGTAAATATCAATTTTTAATAGGCACAAGAATTATTAAAATTTTAAAGACCTGTAAAATACCAAGTATTTACAAATACTAGCTAAAATGTTAACAAAAATCCCATGGAAAAGAATTCATATCTGAACAGTATTGGAAACCAAGGCCACTGCTGTTAATTTTTTTTTAATCTCTATAATTGTTTTGGAATTACGTTTTTAAAGAGAACCCTTACTGTTTAGAGACACATAATGAGATACTTACAGAATTATAAAAGACAGAGTATTTTTCTAAAAAGATTTATTTTTATTGCAAAGTCAGATATAGAGAGAGGAGGAAGAGAAAGATCGTCCGATGAGTCACTCCAAGTGACTGCAACAGCCGGAGCTGAGCCAGGCTGAAGCCAGAAGCCAAGAGAGCTTCTTCTGGGTCTCCCACACAGGTACAGAGTCCCAAGGCTTTAGGCTGTCCTGGGCTGCTTTCCCAGGCCACAAACAGGGAGCTAGATAGATGGGAAGTGGGCCACTGGGATTAGAACTGGCACCCAAATGGGATCCTGGCACGTTCAAGGCGAGGACTTTAGTCACTAGGCCACCACACCAGGCCCGACAGTACTTTTTATTTTTTGAAACTCTCTTGTACAGTTTATTTTTGGTGAATGTTGTATTCTTCACAACTGCTTCTTTGCTTATATATTTGGGAGGGAGAGTTCCAGAGAGAAGGACAAGGCAGGGAGCATGTTCCATCTGCTGACTAACACCCAGGGCCAGGCCTGGCCAAAGCCAGGAGCCAGAGCTTTCTCCTCGTCTCTCATATGGGCGCAGAAGCCCAACCTCTGGGCCATCCTCTGCTTTCCCAGGCGCATTAGCAGGGAGCTGAATGGGAAATGGAAGCATCCAGAATGCAGGCAGGGGGCTAATCTGCTGAACAAATAATGCTGGCCAAAGCACATCTGCTTTAAAAGTATTTCTGGGTGGTTTTATTTATTTAAAAAAAAAAAAAGTTTAGTTTTAGTAACACTATAATAATAATATAAAAATAATAATTTTTAAATTTAATCTAAAAAGTATATTTGCATTGTAAGTATCCCAAATGGTTGCCGGACAAAGTCCCAGGTGCTCCACTTCCGATACAGCTGCCTGGTCACGGCCTGGGAAAGCAACAGAGGCTGTCTCAAGTCCTTGGGCCTGGCACCCACATGCGAGTTCCAGAAGAAATTCCTGGCTCCAGAAGGCTCCGAACCAGTGGATGGAAGATCAATCGCTCCCTTTCTGTCTCTCCTCTTTCAAATAAGAGAGTATTTTTTCTTGAGTTTTTAAAAATAAATTTATTTTGACCACATTTACTTTTTAAAAAGATCGATATATCTGAAAGGTAGAGTAACATGAAGGAAAGAAAGAAAGGAAAGAAAGAGAACAATCTGTCCACTGGCTCTCTCCTCACACGAGAAAGGCTTGATTTCTAAAATTCAGCTCCTTGTTAACGGCCTGGAAAGGCAGAGGGCTTATGGCTCAAGTCATTAGGCCCCCGCACCCATGTGGGAGACCTGTAACAAGCTCCTGGCTTCAAACCAGGCAACCTCTGGCCAATGCAGCCATTTGGGAAGTAAACCAGTGAATGGGAGATTTCTTTTTCTGCCTCTCCTTGTAATTAAAAAAAAAAAGAGGTGGGGGCAGGGCTAGGCCAGCCAGGAGCTGGGAAATCCATCAGGGGTTTTCCCGTGTGGGGTATCAGGGTCCCAAGCCTTGGGGGCATGTCTTTCCAGGTATGTCCACCAAGAAACTGGATTGGAAGCACAGCAGCCAGGACTTCAACTAGCACTCCCATATGGAATGCCAATGTTGAAGGTTAGCCAGCAGCACCACAATATCAGCCTTGGGTTTTTTTGTTTGGTTTGGTTTTGGTGGTTGTTGTTCTATTTTTAAGGCAACAAAATCTAAAAAGTAAAGTAGGAAATAAGAGCACAGATAAAAAAACACTCCCCAAAGAGTAGAAAGTGGCCCCGATTGTAGGCGACTGCCCAGGTTGCCTTGTACCTAATAAGCAGGTGTTACACTACTAGAACAAATGCAGCTAATAGCTGCATTTGGGCCTCATTAATGCCACTCTGGGCCTCATTAATGCCAAATTTATGTTAACTATACCACTGTGCCAGCAGAGTTGCCTATTCTATTCTTTTTTTTCCCCAAAGATACATAGATGGGCAGAAACTGGCATGCAGGCATATCTGAGACCTGAGGCTTGGGGCCCCAGGCAGGCAAGGCCCCAGGGTGGCATGACATCACCGGAGTACCATGTTGCAAGTTCACAGGCATGGGGCCTGTACACTGCTCAGGAAAGGAGGCCTGCTAAGGAAGGATGTTGGCAGATGAGGAGTGACTTCTGGAAGACTTTCACCAACCAGGCTACTGCACTTACAGGTAAGAGAGGAGACTGACACCATGTAGTTAGGTGGAAGGAAATGCAAGGACCCTTTAGGGCCAAACCAATACATCCACTCATGTAGGAGACCCAAGCTGGGCTTGTTGGTATCAATCACCACTTACAGGCACACACAAAAGAAATGGCTGGTGGGCATGCTTAGCAGGACTCAACCACACTACCCACCAGTGAGTGTCAGGGCAGGGGGTAGACCATGTCAGGCTGGACCACAACACTAACCAGCATGCAAGAGAACCAGGTCTGGGAGCAGATTCTGTGGACTCACCCCATGGGACTGCCATACCAGCTGGTTTGTTCAAGGCCTGGGAATGGTGATGGGCCAAGCTAGGCATGACCACAGAACTCACCAACACTCATGGGTACTGGGATTGGGAATAGCCCAGCCAGATCCAGGCTGATCATCTGCAGGTGCACCCAAGAATTAAGTGTGGGGTAGGCTAGGCTGCCACATCCACCAGGTACACACAAAGTTTGTGTGTAGACTGATGTGGGTGGGACTGAGCTGGACCCAGCACTGACTGGTACACACAAGAGTCAGGTCCGGGGTTACCACTGGTGAGGTTTCTACAACTGGATCACTGTACTCAGAACTCCAAACATACAGGGAAGATTACAGGATCTGTGATCTGAGCATGGAGTGCATATGTCAGAACTGTGTCTCCTCAGCTGTTGAAGCCTGTAGAGCACACCGCAAGCTCAGATGCAGATGGGAGACATGACAACCATTGAGGCTTGCAGAGGACATCTAGTACCATGGAGGACAGAACAAATTGGACAGCTCTCCTGGGCAAACTTTGACAGTGAGTATCTGGGTGAGTTGAGACTCTAAGGTGAACTATGTCAGCCAATGGACCTGGGAAGGATTTCTTCAACCTTGGAGCAATGAAATCAGCAGCATCTCAGAACTACCAAAGCTACTTAAGCAGTATGCTCAGAACATGCTCCACAGCGGGAAACCCCGGGATGAGATTAGGTGGCCATCCCCCATCCACCCCCCCCAGTATTGATGTGGTTTGGGCTGCTTTCCCCAAATCCACTATCCCCCATTCCTTGATCCTCCCTACGCTAACCCGTGGTCCACACAGGCACGCATCCTTCTCAGCTCTGTAAACATCATCAAAAATAAATGGTATATTTTTAACAGAATAAAAGACAGGAATTATAAAAATAATACATAATGAAAATGACAGAGTATAGATACCCAGAAAAAAATGTTTTCCCATGGTATAAAATCTGGGAGATGCACAAAATATAAAGACTAGAAAAAACTGACCCCCCACCCCCGTCTACAATATTAATACATTGTTAATATTGACAGTATTAAAAAAAAAAGAGTTGAAAGTGAGCAAAACAGGGAGATAGGTACAAGTAGGCTCATTATGTACACCTCTGTAGATGCTTGACCCTGTCTATAATTACAAGCCTAAAAATAAAAGCAAAAATAGAACCTACAAAATAACAGGGATATGTTAAAAGATGAGTTCTTATGCATTATCATTACCAAAGGCAATGAGGCTGAAAATGCTTGCTCTAAAATTACTAAAACCTATTCGAGAGGCTAGAGCCATGACATGGTAGGTGAAGAGATGCTGGCATCCCATGAGGGCAGGGTCTGCCACACTCCTCATCTAGCTTAACAGTGATCCACCGCGGCAGTGGGCGGGGGACTGTGGGAGTGGGACACCCCAAGGAGGTTCCTGGGCACAGACTGGCCCACCTATGGTCACTGTGGCCAATTGGGGAGTGAGTCTGCAGTGAATCCTTTTAACTCCGCCTTTCAAATAAATAAACCTCTAAAATAAATGACTGAACACTTAATGCTGCCAGTAATAACAAAACACACACACACACACCCCACACTGAAAGCTTCTAAACAACTTACTTGGTGTGAAAGCAAATCTGTGCTTGCATAATTCACAGTATTCTTTTCGACTGTGTTTCAGCCACTGAACTAAGCTGCAATTACAAATATACTCTTAAGAACAGCTTACAAACAAGAAGCATCAAGGTTTCATTGAAAACTAATGTTACTTGCATTAAGCTCTACATATTACAGAGCTTTCACAATTCTGACAATTCCAAATTTTTTAATTCTCACAATTTCAAACTTAAAAAATATTAACTTTTCATAAATCCCTTCTAAAAGTAAAAAACACAAAACAATGTATCAATGTTATAAAAAATAGTGACAATCTTACTATAAAGAGCCAGTTAATCTAAATGGTAATTTGTAACTCCTCAAATTAAATAACTAGGGAAGAATCTCCAGGCAGTCCCATCAGTTCTGACAGGGATCAGAAAAGTGGGTCTTGAGCTTTGTTTCCTCAGCTGCATGATAATATTCCACCCCAAGAATTCCTGGTAAAGACTTAAACTAGTTTCCTTGTGATAAAAGTATTTCATAAATGTAAGCCACAATGCAAACAAAACCAGAAAAGTAAAATTCCAATGTCCAAAAATAAGCTCTCCATAGTAGAAATAACAAAAGGGTACTCAATTGCATCTAGGTCATCTACCAAAATAATAGGCATGGTATTAAGAACTACAGACAGTTCCTTTTTCAATATTTTAAGAGTTTTTAAAATTATAGAGTTTCTTAAAATGATCATTCTAATTACATAAATGACAAAACCTTGAGATTTATAAAATTTTCTCAGTGCAACTTACCACTCTTGATGGATAAATTTAATACTGCCAGTACATACACAAGGATGATAAAGAGGCTTCTCGGGCGTTCCTTCTGACCGGCAGACTCTACAAATGTCTGTTAATGGAAAAGAAAATTGAACAATCATGAGCTATAACTTAAAAAAAAAAATAGTTTAATTTGGTAAATACTATCATCTGGCAAAATATTAATCAATTGCATACAAAACTGAAGATTATGACTGATATGTGTCTACATAAAATCTTAAAACTTCCTTTAAGAATTTTAAAAGGTTGTTCTTACATGGGAGAACTCTGTAAATAAAGTTCAGGTAACAATAACAACTGACTTTATTTAAAACCACATTTTCATTTATTGAACAGAAACAAAAATCAAGTCACCAATAGTGTCCTAACAGTTTCAAACTCCAGTATTATTGGTTTATTGTACTAATTAAACTCAGTTTGAATTCCACACAGCATAAATGAGGGTTTAACACTACAACACAGGGACAAGAATAGGAGACACCCCTTTGAGAAGGTACCTCACCCCAGAAACTGGAAACAGAAGAGTGGGGCAGGACTCAACTCAGGCAGATAGAACCCATCTAGGGCTGCCTGAAGCAGAAGCTAAGAGAGCCCAGGCCAATGTGTCAGTACAGGAGAGCCTCTCACCCTCGCCACCAGCCAAGCAGTTCCAAAGACATCCGTCTGTACTTCAAGGTAAAAAAAATGAGAAGATCAACAGCTCTTCCAAAATACAGCTTCATAAATTTTTCATTAGTGTATCAGAAAATTCGCAACCTTTATTATCCCCAATGACAAAAGAAAACAAAATATTAAACTTCTAAATTAACTTATTTTACAACTAGGATGTTCCCTGAGTTCTCTATGGTAAAATGAAAACTCCTAAGCCAAACACAATTAAACAATATATGCCATGTACACACAAACAACTCTTAACCACAGTGAAGAATTTGGGAACTTTGGAATAACATAAAGAGCAGAACCTCCCAGTCAGCTATACCCAAAGACAGAAGGGAAAGTCTGCAAATCCTAAGCGGAATTCAACAACCATCACGGGAACAAACATTGGCTCATTTGTAACGCTTGTAAGATAAAGACAGCAAGAAGTGTTAGCACAGGATTATGTAACACACACAAATTGGAACACTCCTGGCAGGAATGTGCTTCTCTCACTAGTCAGTTTCTGGAGAGACCCTGAATACACTTGTACCTTCATGAGAAAGGGTAAGAAGTAGTACGCCTCAAGTCCCTAAAAGCATATTTCTAGGTAAGCAGGAACCTAATTCTACCTTAAAACCATTCGTTACAAATTCTTCTACACAGACCTGGTTCAAGAATCAATACTATAAACCTTTGCAGAACTGACTGCATTTCACTCACAATGAAATGTGACCACATCAATTTCCCTCAAGAGCACGCTAACAGGAAAAGCCAAGGTTACTGCAACGAGGCCTCAAAGAACGGCAGCAAGCCCCAGTTAAAACACCTACATGGCAAACACTTGGCTGTTTATACTCAGATCCAGCCAGCCTGCCCTGAATTTTAATAGGCACAGACATGCCACATTAGGAAATTACCAGGGAAAAGTGCCAAAGAGATGCGCTACAACTGCTCTCTTTCCTCAGCAAAACTGCCACAGCTTGGTCAATCCAGGACGAACACTGCTTCCCTACCATTGATTACTCAACAGAAAAACCTTCAACAAGGCAGATATATACCTCATGACTAAATATTTTTTCTGGAAGGATGCATAAGAAACTGTAAATCTATGATGGATCAGAAGTAGGGGAAAGGAAATTTTTCCTCTTTGTTGTGTAAGCAGTTTATTACATATATTCGTGTAGTGTTTCACTGATATTTTATTTCCTAAAGCAATATTTTCCAAATACATACGTTCAGATGTACAAAAAAAATGTTCATAGCAGCACAACTCACAATACACAAAAACCAGAATCTACCTCAATTACCTAGCAACAATAAAACAAACTTCAGTATATTCACATAGTGTAACTCTACACTGGCCATAAGAACAAACCAGTTCAAGTTACAAACAAAGATTTGGTTTTATCTTTAAAAAAAAAAATTAACTTATCTCAAAAAGTCTTTTTTAAAAAGTCAGATGTAAAGCATATCCACTAAAAAACTTGAATGTAACCAGTTTAAATACATAAAATGCAACATCTACCACTCCCACTGGGGCTTCAAGTTGCTTGTGGGGAGACCGGAGAGGGCTTAGGGCTCCAGATCAGGACCAAGTAGACACACAGTTTCCTTTAGCTGCTGCCAAGCAGTGTAGTTATTTATTGTTTGAGACTTACTTATTTTTACTGGCAAGTCAGATTTACAGAGTGAAGGAGAGACAAAGATCTTCCACCTTCCGATTCACTCCCCTAGGGCCGCAAGGATCAGTGCTGAGCCCATCAGATGCCAGGAACCAGAAACTTCTTCCAGATCTCCCACACAGCTGCAGGATTCCAAGGCTTTGGACCATCCTCAAGTTTATTACGAACCGAGCATTTAGGCAAGCAACCAGTGACAAATTTACATCTCACCTCTGCTTAAAACCCTCCCTTAAATCCCTATGCCACCAAAAGTAAAAGTCAATTTTAAGTTCTGTATTCTAGTATCCTCTCTACACATCCCACTGGTCCCATGACCTGACCCTATTACACCGACATTTCCTCTGCTTCATTCACTGCAGTCCAGTGACACTGTTCTCAGGTTCTTTCTGAACACTCTACTTCCCACTGGCCAGTCCTTCTGCCCGGAATGCCCTACCCATAGGGAGTGGGCATCGCTGCTTCACTGTCACAGTGGTCCCTGGCTTGTCACTACCTTGTCCCTTCCAACGAGTAAACCAGTAATGTTCCACAATGCTTACAAGCTTCTATTATGCCATAAATTCATTACATATTTATCTCCTACCTTCCTTTTCTCCTCTGTCAAACTCTCTAAAAGAGGTTTTTCCTAATTTTTTCCCTGCATACACCAAGAACAAAAAGTGGCAACGGCTTACAACGGGTGCTCAGTAAACCCTTGTCAAACAAACGCACATATGCTCAGCCGGAAGCACGCCAAAGCAGTGAAAGTGGATGTCTGGTATAAAGAAAGCAGCAGACAGGTCCGGAGACAGACAACCATGAGGTTCTAGAGAGAACAGCTGCCTATCTCACTGACAACTTTCATTCTTTTAACTCAAGGGCCTCCTGTGTCCCATGCTGGGTAAACTGGATTGTGAAACACTGTAGCTTCACTTCTTTTACACAAGTTCCACAGACCATGAAGAACTGTTACTTCAGTATTCCATAAATATACTCAGATGCTTGTATTACATTCTGCCAGTGCTTTGTCACTGGGTCGCACTGCAGTGGGCTTCACCACCACCTACAACCCATGCAAGCACAGGCACTCCGCTGCTGAGCCAGGTCCTGCTAATGAGTGTCCAAATGCATAGACCCCACCACCCACAAGGGGACCTGAATGGAGTTCCAAGCAACTGGATGTGGCCTGACCCAGCCCCAGTCATTGTGGCCACTTTTGCGGGGGAATCAGTGAATGGAAGATCTGTCTTCCCTCTTTTTTTATTTATTTTTATTGGAAAGGCACATATACAGAGAGGAGAGGTAGAAATATCTTCCAGCTGCTGGTTCTCTCCCCAAGTGGCTACAACAACTAGAGCTGAGCAGTTCTGAAGCCAGGAGCCAGGAGCTATTCCAGGTCTCCCATTTGGGAAGCTTTGGGTCATCCTCTGCTGCTTTCCCAGGCCACAAGCAGGGAGCTAGATAGAAGCAGGACCGCTGGGATACAAACTAGCATTAACATGGGATCCTGATACATGCAGGGCTTCAGCTACCAGGCTATCTGCCGGGGCCCCAACTTTGTATTTCAAATAAACTATCTTTAAAACATGAAAATCTGGGCCCGGCGCGGTGGCACAGCGGTTAAGGTCCTTGCCTTGCACGCCCCGGATCCCATATGGGCGCCGGTTCTAATCCCAGCGGCCCCGCTTCCCTTCCAGCTCCCTGCCTGTGGCCCGGGAAAGCAGTCGAGGGCAGCCCAAGGCTTTGGGACCCTGCACCCACGTGGGAGACCCGGAAGAGGCTGCTGGCTTCGGATCGGCATAGCATCAGCCGTTGTGCTCACTTGGGGAGTGAATCATCGGACGGAAGATCTTCCTCTCTGTCTCTCCTCTCTGTATATCTGCCTTTCCAATAAAAATAAAATAAATTAAAAAAAAAAAAACCATGAAAATCTGTGGTTCCAGAACCATGCCTCAAAAGGCTAACCCTTCCCTTATGAGTGCCAGGATCCCATCTAAGCACCTAGTTCATGTCCAGGCTGCTCCCTACTTGTGGCCTGGGAAAGCTGTCAAGGGTGGCCCAAAGTCTTGGCATCCTGAACCCATATGGGAGACCCAGAAGAAGCTCCTAGCTCCTGACTTAGGATCGGCTTGGCTTCAGCCCTTAAGCCCACTTGGGGAGTGAACTAGCACATGGAAGATCTTATGTCTGTTTGTTTCTCTATAAATTTTCCTTCCAACAAAAATGAATATGTCTTTTAAAAAGAAAAGATATTACACAGCACAGCATGAGGAAACCTAGTATGTTAGCAGATTACACAGTATCAAACTGTATTTCCAAATAACACTTCTGTTGTAATGCAAGGAAAAAAAAAAGAAAGAAAAAGGAAAAAATGGGGTCAGCAGAGTGACCCAGCACACCAATCCTCCACACTGTGGCACCAGCATCCCATATGGGCTCCAGTTCTGTTCCAGCTCTCTGCTAACAGGCCTGGGAAAGCAACAAAATGGCCCTAATGCTTAGGCCCCTGCACCATGGGCCATATCTCAGACAAGGTGCTGGCTATGAATTTGCCCAGTATTGTCTGTTGCAGCCATTTGTGAAGTGAACCAGTAAATGGAATATTTGTCTCCCAAAAATAAATAATCTTTAAAAATATACAAGCGTTTTAAAAATAGAAATAACTGGGTCCAGGGCAATAGCCCAACAGCTAAAGTCCTTGTCTTGAACACGCAGGAATTCCATGTGGAAGTGGTTCAAATCCCAGTGGCCCAACGTCTATCTAGCTCCCTGCTTGTGGCCTGGGAAAGCAGTCGATGATGGCCCAAAGCCTTGTGACCCTGCACCTGTGTGGGAGACCCAGAAGAAGCTCCTGGTTTCTGGCTTCGGATCAGCTCTGCTCCAGTCCTTGCAGCCCACTTGGGGAATGAGCCAGTGGACAGAAGACCTTACTGTTCATCTCTCCTCATCTCTGTATATTTGCCTTTCTAATAAGTACAAATAAATCTTTAAAAATAAAGCGGGCTTGATGCCATAGCTTAGCAGCTAAAGTCCTTGCCTTGCATGCAACAGGATCCCATATAGGCACTGGTTCTAATCCCGGCGGCTCCACTTCCCATCCAGCTACCTGCCTGTGGCCTGCAAAAGCAGTCGAGGACAGCCCAAAGCCTTGGGACCCTGCACCCGTGTGGGAGACCCAGAAGAGGCTCCAGGCTCCTGGCTTCGGAATGGCTCAGCTCCCGCCACTGCAGCCACTTGGGGAGTGAATCAGTGAATGGAAGGTCTTTCTCTGTCTCTCCTCCTCTCTGAATATCTGCCTTTTCAACAAAAATATTAGTAAAGAGAGAGAGAGAGTGAACTGGTTTATTTTACAAAAAAAAAAAAATTTAACAGAACAACCAGTTCATAGATCTGCAAATCCAGGACAAAAGTGCTACAAAAGGACAAAAACCACAGAATTTGGTACTGTTTACTACAGAAATAGAGCGCTGTCAACATCAGAATGCTACACATAATGCTAACAGGGAAAACATGCTACTGTGAGCCGAAGCTTGAGCGCTGCTCCCTACCAGCGTCGTTGGTATCTTAGTAACATCTTCGTCTCCTTGTCCAGAATACAAAAAGCAAAAATTGAAAAGTGAGTCACAACAATACTAATGTTTTCAGTGATAGCATTGTAAGATTACTATTTTTTAATTAATTACATTTATTGTTTTTAATTTTCCAAATCCCCTGCAAATATTTTTATTTGTAAGAAGATAAAAGTCCAGGCTACTCTGTGTACCACATGACGTGAAATGACTATCTGTTGTTCACAAGCTTTGGCGCAACCCCTCAGTCACTTCAATCATGAAATGTTCTGCAGCCATCCCTGTTTTTCTAGTTTTGGTTTTCCAATGTGGAGTTTTACAAAAGTAGGCATGAGAGTATTAAAATTGGTTTTCACTTCATGACTAGTAATTTCATGAAACAAACACAAAACAAGGATGTGCCAAATCACAGAAATGATCTATCCTATAAAAGGAGTGTAAGCAGCAGGTGTGTGACGCAGCAGATGCTGCTAGTCTGGGGAGCCCACATCCCCTGCTGCCCTCTCCTCGCGAGCACCCCGCAGCCAGCGGCTGGGCTGGGGAGCCCACATCCCCTGCTGCCCTCTCCTCGCGAGCACCCCGCAGCCAGCGGCTGGGCTGGGGAGCCCACATCCCCTGCTGCCCTCTCCTCGCAAGCACCCCGCAGCCAGCAGCTGGGCTGGGGAGCCCACATCCCCTGCTGCCCTCTCCTCACAAGCACCCCGCAGCCAGCAGCTGGGCTGGGGAGCCCACATCCCCTGCTGCCCTCTCCTCGCGAGCACCCCGCAGCCAGCAGCTGCAGGCTTAGGGTTTGCTCCCCACCCCACCGTGCCAGACCCAGATCTGTCTGAACACTCAGAGCTTCCACCTGGCCCAGCCCTGGCTGTGGCAGGAATTTGCGGTTGAACATCTCTCTCCCTCCCTTTCACCTAAATAAAACATGTGATTAAAACAAAAGTGACAAAAAAGTCATTTCAACGTTGAACAGTCACCATCCACACCACCAAAAGCCCACGTGAGGCGTAGTCTACGAAGCTGTTTGCAGGCAGCCTCTGCCAGTTAATACCTGTGCTACCAGGAACAGGCTGGTTCTTCACTAAGTCTCCTCCTATGTAAAAGGGGCTACTTCCTAACTACAAATGTTGAACTAAATGAGATGGACGCAAAGTGTTCAGTAAAGCATACACCACAGATAGAGTCCTCAGCAAATAAGAAGTTAGCGTTTCCTTCACGATTCCATCCTGCTTTCAGTGCCTGCAATTCCCCAGCTATTACTGACCACTGTCACATAGGTATTAAACACTCAGGCAAAAGACAACAAATTTAATTTACAGTCATACACATCAAGTGAGACATTATCACCTGCCTTCCCAGATGCACTCATTAAAACATGAGCCTAAAAAATGTGAAATCCATGTAGAGAAATGTACACGTAAGGACCCCCCTCAAACAAGGTAACTGCTGACTCAGCAAGTTCAAAGTGCTCATTTTCCGAAGGAGGGTCAGGTGGTGATCCCAGGGTTCGAAGACCACCAATAAGCAACATGGCACAATGAAAGACAAGTGACTTGCAAACTGGTTACATAGGATCGGATCTGTGAGAGGGCCGGGAACACAGCTTACAACTTCCACATGTGTAAAAGGAGGCAATGCTGCCCAGCTAAGTCCTGTGGATGCACCTGCCAGGGCCACCTGGCACTGCACCTGTCTCTATTAAGGAGACTGCTTAGATCAAAAGATGATAAACCAATTCTTTCCAATTCCACGCCACGGACAGCAGTAAACCTTTGACCACCCAGTACTGGGCTTCGTGACGCGCGGATTCACGTTCATGTAAAATCGCAAACCACTAGGTTGAAAAGTCTGAAAAGTACGTGCACTGTTCTGAGCCCATCAAGGGGCGGGGTCATGTAGCAAGTCCGCTACCGACTCACTCTAAAAACACGGAAACTGCTGAAAAAGCATCTACTACCGTCAGGGGCAAGCCCGCAGCAGGAGCATCTTCCTGTACGCTGTGCTGGATGTGTCCTGTCCAGGGCACTGAGTCGGGGGCGGGAGTGGGCAGCTTGCGAGAAGACCACCACCTCCCAAACACACAGCCAGCCAACCAAAACCCTGCGTCCTGCTGCCAGGGGTTCAAAGTCAAGGACAGCAGGCACAAAGAGCCACAGGAGCCCCGGTGCTCTCGGCCTGCCCTCTCCCCGGTTCAGCAAGCCGATGCCTTCGAGGGCAAGGGTTTACGGCAGGGGTCAGCTGGGTTCACGCCGCTCCGCCGTCACCTGGCCGGGCATTTCCTGCCAAGTTTCAAAGTCAACAAAAGAAGTTGCTGACCACCGGGTAGGGCCCACGGGGCCATCACAGGCCAAGGGAGAGACACCCCACAAGCAGAGTCGGGGCAGTGTGCGAAAACGCACCCCTCCCGTAGAATTCCAAGCTCCTTCCTCCCGAGGCCCGCGCACCCCAAGTCCCGAGGCCCGTACCCCAAGTCCCGGGTCCCCGTCCCGGCGGCGGGGAGCGGGACGCGGGGGGTCACCTTCCGTCCTCGCGCGCGCGCCGCCCGCCGGGCAAACGGCCCGCTTCCCGCCACCCCGGCAGCCACACGGAGCCGGGGCCGGAGCGGGCGCGGGCCGGGGCGCGGGCGTCGCAGGCCGCCCACTTACCTTCCTCCGCGGTGTCCATCTTGTCTGGGGGGTGCGGCGGTGACGCAGCCGCGAGCCTCCCGCGGCCAGGGCCCGAGCCTTCCGGCCGGGCGGGCAAACCAGGACGGGGCAGAGGGAGGAGGGACCGGGAGCCGGGCTCGGGCAGGTGCGTGTGCTCAGGTGCGAGAGAGGAAGGACGGAGGGCAGGGGGAGAGGGACAGTGGCTGACAGAGACGGCGGCGGGGAGGGGGCGGGAGCGCCGAGGGACGAGGCGCCGGGGCGGAAGGGGCGGGCGCGCCCCGCGCGGGGCGGTGTCACTTCCGGCGCGGCGCGGCGCGGCGCGGCGCACGCTCCGTGGGGCTGCGGAGGCGCCGAGGGCGGCGCGGGCGGCGGAAGGAGGCCGGGAGCGAGGGGAGGGATGGGGGCTTCCGTGAGCCCCCGTTGCTTCACGGTTCTGCGCCTCTTGTCCCCGCGGGGTCCGACAGTCTGCATTTGGTGGGGACCGGACAGTGCACTGGCGGGGGTACCCGACCTGTGCCGCGGAGGGAGCTGAGCCGCTGACTGGAGGCGACCTCCGCCTCAGGCCTGCTCTCCCGGTGAGGGAATACGGGCTAGAAGGGCCTGGGCAGAAACACAGCACTCCAACTTCCCAAAAGGAAAGTTTCAACAACATGCATATGACTTAGCAGACACGCTAGTCATCTGTTCTCAAAAGTGTGAGAAAGGGTCCGGAAGCCCTTACACACCCACACACATCGCTCCTTATCAAGCAGTATAAGGGTTAGAATTTTAAAACTGGTGAAATGAAGCCTTCAGAAAGAGCGCAGCCCTTGGCTGGTGTCACTGGTTGGAGGACTGCTGTCGCAGGGAGAGTCCCGCCGGGTGACAGGGCTGAGGTGGGAGGACGAGCAGACAGCCGTGCTTGCATATGCTCCCATCTCCCGGGGAACTAAGAGCAAACCTGTCTGCAGGCCAACAAGAGGCCTGTGACAAAGCTGGGCAGCCAAGAGCAGGCCTGCAGAGCCGAGAGAGGACCTGGGCGAGCCAGGTGAGCGGAGGAAGCACCAGCCGGACCTGCAGGCAGGTAGGTGAGCCCCAAAGGGCCGATCTGAGCCTGTCTGCAGGGATGCTGGCAGATGTGCCGATGGAGGGGCCTCCCATCCTCAGGTGCCCCCGTTGATGGTGCCCCAAGGAAACTGAAGCATGTGGCTAATTCTCCCTTCATCATAACGCCCTTCTGAGACTTACGCAACCTGGCTTGGTCTGGTTTGGTTTTGCATCCAGAATGTGGGTGCTACCTCTGAGTAATAAACCAGCTTGTGGTGAATCTCTACCATGGGCATACGCTGAGTCTCCCAACAGTCCTTGGATGGATTCCTGCCCACCAGAAGCCAACCGCACGGTTAGGGAGAAGAGCAGGCACCTGCTCTGTGACCCGATGGGAAGGGTGCCTCCCTGCGGAGCCTCAGTCACCCTCTGCACAGCTGATCACTAGTGCACTGCTGGAGCGCCTCTCACCCGCTGCAGCCGCGCCCATCTTCAGCCGCGCCCATCTTCAGCCAGGCCCATCTTCAGCCGCGCCCATCTTCAGCCCCACCATCATACACGCAGACACGGATGATTTTGGCCCCAGTGTAAACATCTCCAGGGAAGGGGCTTTGCACGATGGCTCAGTGGCTAAATCCTCACCTTGCAAACAGAGCTCATTCATGTCCTGGCCGCTCTGCTTCCCATCCACTCCCTGCTTGTGGCCCGGGAAAGCAGTCGAGAACCGCCCAAAGCCTTGGGACCCTGTACCCATGTGGGAGACCTGGAAGAAGAATCTCCTGGCTCCTGGCTTCAGATTGGCTCAGCTCCAGCTGTTGCAGCCACTTGGAGAGTGAACCAGCGGACAGAAGATCTTTATCTCTTCTGTGTATATTCTTTTCCAATAAAAAAATAATAAAATAAAACTTTTTTTAAAAATTCCCAAGGAAGGACAGTTGTCTGGTCAAGCTACTTGCCTAGCCCTTACACAAGGAGTTGACTGTGGAACTGTGGACCTGCCAGGTTGGAGCAGGACACCGCACGGTGGAAGTGTAGAGATGTCCTTTCCCACAGGATGGAGGAAGACAGAACAGCACGTGTGCGTTTGCACTAGAACTAGGGTTCTCACTGTTCGCCTGAGGCCACTAAGATGGTAAGCTAGTAGTGGGATTGGCCACACTTTTATCCAGTACAGAATTTCAACCTGAGGAAAGTTACTTCTGTTGAGACTCTTTGTTAAGTGCCTGGTATACACTTAATTCCAGCTGTGTGTGTGCACACACTGTATCATTGAAATGCTATATTCCAGGACCCGGTACGATAGCGTAGTGGTTAAGGTCCTCGCCTTGAATGCGCCGGGATCCCATATGAGTGCCAGTTCTAATCCCTGCAGCTCCACTTCCCATCCAGCTCCCTGCTTGTGGCCTGGGAAAGCAGTCAAGGACGGCCCAGAGCACTGGTACCCTGTACCTGCATGGGAGACCTGGAAAGAAGTTCCTAGCTCCTGGCTTCAGATTGGCGCAGCACTGGCTGTTGCGGCCACTTGGGGAGTGAATCATCGGATGGAAGATCTTCCTCTCTGTCTCTCCTCCTCTCTGTACATCTGCCTTTCCAATACGAAATAAATAAATCTTTTCAAAAAAAGAAATATTATATTCCAGTAATGCACTTTCCATCTAGCAATGAATTGAATAAAAGGGAAGTGTAGGAAAGACCAACAGAAGGATTTTTGCAACAGTATGATGAATGAATGATAACTAATTCTCCCCGTCAAGTTCAGTGAGCATCGGCAGGAATCCTGTGAGGTAAATATGAGTGTCATGCGCGTTTTACAAATGACAAATCAGACTTGCAATTGACTAAGTAGCTGGCCAGACACCTAATAGAAGAGGAAGCCAAAGTCGTGCAATGGTGAGTCCAACTCTAGGCTTCCAAGTTTGTTTTAAGATTGATTTATTTCAAAGACAAAGTCACAGAGGGGGAGAGGCAGAAAGCTCTTTCTGGTTCACTTCCCAAGTGACCACAACAGTAGGAGCTGGTCTGTTCTGAAGCCAGGTACTTCCTCTGGTTCGCCCATGTAGATACAGGGACCCAAGAACGTGGATCAGCCTCTGCTACTTTCCCAGCCACATTAGCAAGGATTTGGATCAGAAATGGAGCATCCAGGACTTGAACCAGTGCCCATATGGGATGCTGGCACTGCAGGCAGTTTACCCACTAGGACACAGCTGGGCCAGGCTTCCAAGTTTACAGCCTCAGCGATTTGTCTTAGGAACTTCCCTCTTGGCACCATCATTTAACTCCTGCTTTTACCATGAGCCCACATTGATGCAGAATACCTGACTTTGTGACAGCTGCGTAAAATTGCTGCTCTGGAAGCAGAGAGAGATCATTAGACAAGTATGTAATATCAAGCTTGGCCTACTGCCTTCACCAAATTACTGAAAGCGATGTATAGCATTATCTTAGTATTAAACTTCCCTTGTCAGCTGCTCTGCATACCCTCTTCCTTTCCCTCCTGTTTCTCATCACCTCTAAAAGTGAGACCCCATAGTGATGGGGGTTGAAAGAGGGGCAGGTAAGTAGTACAGAGAAAGCACCTGTGGGAGCTAATGGCTCAAACTGAGCAGGTCAGTGCATAAGCACAGTGATGGCCAGACTTCTCCTTGTTGGAGAAGATGCAAGCAAGCAAGGGGGAGAGGCTTGAAAGAACTCCAAGATGCTGGATTGTAGTGGACTGGCCTTTTGAACTCACTTTAAAAAATACAGACAGCTGTAGAAATACGGTTATGCGTCACATCGTGATGTTTTGATCCATGGCATCACATGCACAGTGACAGTGCTGTGATTTTATAGTGAACTGGAAAATATAGTGAATTTTATAGGAACTGGAAAATTCCTATCACCTGGTGACATTATAGTCCTTGTAACGCAAGTCATTATTTGTTCATGATGATGCTGATCTAAACAAGTTGACTTGCTAATGGTGTGAACGTGTATATAGCACATGGGGCCAGCATGATAGAAACAGGCTAAGCTGTAGCCTGCAGCACTGGCATCCTATATGGGTGCCAGTTCAAATCCCAGCTGCTTCACTTCCAACCCAACTCCTCCCTGCTTATGGCCTGCCAAAATAGTGCCCACTATATCCACATGGGAGACCCAGAAGAAGATCCTGGCTCCTAGCTTCAGACACTGGTTCACTCCAGCAACTGGTTCTTTCTACAGATGGCCACAATAGCCTGGACTGGGCCAGGTGGAGCCAGGATCCAGGACTCCATCCAGGGGTCCAGTGTGCGTGGCAGAGCCCCCAAGCATTGGGCCATCTTTCACTTCTTTCTCAAGTGCATTATTGAGATCTGGATTGGAAGTGGAACATCAAGGACTCGAAGCAGGCTAAGATAGGGTGCCAGTGTCACAAGGGACAGCTGAGCCTGCTGCACTGCAGTGCTGGCCCAAGCAGGCTGATCTTTCTTTCTCTCTCTCTTTTTTTAGACTTATTTTATTTGAAAGTTAGAGTTATAGAGAGAGGAGGAGAAACAGAGAAGGAGATTTTCCATCTGCTCATTCATTCCCAGAGCAGCCACAACCGCCAGAGCTGGTCCAGTCAAGCTGGAAGCCAGGAGCTTCTTCCCAGTCTCCCACGTTGGTGCATAGGTCCAAGGCTTTGGGCCATCCTCCGCTACCTTCCAGGACTCCAGCATTGAGCAGAATCACAAGTGGAACCGCTGGGACTAGAACTGATGCCCACATGCAATGTGAGTATGCCGCAACCACAGCGCCTGCCCTTGAAGGCTGGTTTTACGTTGATAATTTTGTGTGTCCCAGGAATAGTGTTGTAACTATCTAAATGATCCTCAGTAGAAAATGTTTGCCCACCTGTGAGTACATAGTGCTGATCCGGAAGGGGGGATGCTTACACTAGGGAATGGGATGATTACTTGTGTCTTTCCCCGGGGTGGATCAGCACGCAGCTCTGAGCACGCTGATCGCACACATGGGATTCTGATGCCATGTTCCACCAGAACCAGGAATGCTTGAAAGGATGGCACGTTTCCGAATTAAAGCAGAGAAACAACAGAATGAACCTCGAACAGGAAGATGTGTTCAAGGACTGGCAAGTGGATGTTAGCTAGACACAGAACCCAAAGGGAGCTGGCTCACACTGTGCAAATTGGCGACAAGTTGAGTATGAAAATATTTACAGGGCCCAGTGTGG